GGATTTCCGTATAAAATTTTCTTTGGCCTAAATTTTAGGTTAGGAACAAGATATCGAGATGTGGTTTTTGCGAGCTTGTACATTCATTTTTTGTTTTGAGAAAAATAACCATTTCTGTTGGAAACAAAACTTCAAATATTAGAACATTTGTACTCCAAGAATAGCTCATTTCAACTAGCCCAACCTTGTTAGAATCGGCTCAGCAGTTTCGAAGATACAGGGTACTTTTTACAGAAACCTTTGAATACCCCCCACCACTTAATTTTTAGAGATACAGCAAAAATTGTGAAACAGAAAAGGTTCAGATGTTCCTCCAATTTAAAGATCAGGTATTTGTTGTTCGGTTAATATAGCGGAATTCACAGAAACATCACTTTTTTAGATTCAAGATTGGAGTTACGCCCCTAGCGGCCACTTCAGAAACTTGAAAATGTTGTTCAGGTTATTCTCTTGGCCGTTTTAGTAATAACTGTTTTTGCCGCAAGCCTCTACGATGGATAGGTTCCCACGTACAGTACCTCGCATTCTTAGTTGGCCACCCTGTACAGCAAAATCAGCCATCATTGTACCGCATTTCCTGTGTGCTTTATGCGATAGTCTCATGAAAATAAGTGAAGTTTAGAACGTGTTTCACAATGTTCTTGATTACAATATATCGGAGATTTTAATTAATAATATCGTGTGAATAATGTAACTTACATAAACTAAAACTATTATTCCACATCCAGCAATGCAGCAGAACAAAAAAAGCAAATTAACATAGTTACAGACTTAAGTCCGCCGTAGTGACATACGAACGCCAAAAATGTCGCGCTTTTAGTGTCGTGTTAACGCCAGTCTGGGAGTAATTTACAATGGCGATGTTTACACCGTATGTAGCTAACCACAGGACTGTGCTATTCCATGCATTAACACCATTCTGTCAAGAGCTTAGTGATTAGAGTATAAACATGGTAAATGGTCTTGGGCTAAAGGTTTAATTTAGGGCGCAGTTTAAATCGACTGATGATGCGCCATCTCTGATAACAGTGCGGTGTTAGCGCAGGGAACAGCACGGTCCTGTGTTTGTGGTGTGGTGTGAACATAGCTATTGGAGTCAAAAATAATCTGCATAAATGGTCTCTATCAGGTAAATGGCATTTCTAAAGTGCAAGTTATAAGAATCATAATCGAGTCTACGTTGACAGAGGGACATTTACTGTCACTCCAAGCGGCCGAAGTGCTTGGATATTCAGTCAAGTCAAGAGCCTCCACATTGCTCTGAACGATTCAAGTCGTTAGATTTGTAAATAAATTTTGGTATGATTATATCTTTGGCATGATGGAACGATTGCGAATGATAACGGCGGCAGACTTGATGTGCAGCCACAGTGTCACCGTACTTCTTATCCAAACGTTGTGTTCTTAGCAACCGCCCTGACAGCGCGTCACCAACACCGCGCATTTAGCGTCAGTATAAGTTGTTACTAAGCTGAGTATTACACAGCGAAATTCCATTTTTGAACCTCTTTATTTTTATAAGACATTTATCATCGAACCCAAATGGAAAGACGCACGTTTTATGAACTGAATTTATATTCCATTAGGCACTTCACATCATGCTCAATGATTAATTTTTTATATGGTAGCAACATCAGGTCTCTACAAGAGGCGAGCTGTCCACTAAAAATTTAACGGTTCTAACCACTTCCCCTTTGTGACAGATGTCACAAACGACAGCTAGCGACAACAGTTGTCTTTGTGGTCTACAGACTTTGGTATCATTCCCGTCTCAAGCTGACGACTAAGATCTGCTGTATACGAGGCTTGTTCAATAAGTAACCGTGTTTGACGAAAGATGGCGATCCTGAGGGAAGTTGCTGTTATCATCGTGTGCCTCCATCTATCAAACGACAGCACAACAAATTTCAGACTGATTGATACTAATTGATAGCTTAGTTTGGATTTGGCAGCCATTCGAGTAACACGTGTTTCGTGATTTCGCTAAGATGGAAAAAGAGCAGTATCGTTCGTTAATTCGCTTTTTGTTTTTGGATGGGAACAATGCGAGGAGATAAAAGCAAAGTTGAATGCTGTTTATGGGAATACTTCGCTTTATATGACCACAGTTAGATATTGGTTCAACGAATTTAAATGTGGGCGAACATCCGTTTTTGATGAGGAGCGACCAGGACCAGGAAAGTGCGCAAGTAGCAGAGACCGTAGGTGTGTCGACCGGATCGGCAATGAATATTTTACATGATAAATCGGAGATGAACAAATTGACGGCCCGATGAGTGCCACGATTGCTCACGGTGGACAACAAGCGGATGCGGCTGTTAACTTCGCAGCAGTGTATGGAGCAATTTTAGCGAAATCCAAATGAGTTTTTGCGTCGAGTTGCCACCGTTGATGATACCTGGATTCATCATTACACACCAGAAACTAGACAGCAATCAAAACAATGGATTTCTTCCGGAGAATCTGCTCCAAAGAAGGCAAAGACTGTCCCATCTACCGGAAAGGACAAGGCGACGATTTTTTGGGATGCGAACGGCGCCATCCTCATGATTTTTTTAGAAAAAGGAAGAACGATCACTGATCAATACTACAGTTAGTTATTGGACCGCTTCGACAAAAAATTGAAGGAGACACGGCCACATTAAAAAAAAGAAGGTGCTGTTTCACCACGAGCACGATCAATTGCGTTAGAAAGTGCTGCCGCACTCGGTCTGCCCCCCCGCGACTTTTTCTTGTTCCCTAACATGAAGAAATGGCTCGCGGGAACAAAAATTAGCTCAAATGAGGAAGTCATCGCCGAGACAGAGCCTTATTTTGGAGAGTTCGACAAATAATATTTTTTGGAGGGATTAAAAAATGGCAGGAACGTTGGGAAAAGTGTTATCTTTATAAAAGAGGACTATGCTGAAAAATATATATATATATATATATATATTTTTTTAAAATGGTGTCTTCATTTCTAACACGGGTACTTATTGAACCGCCCTCGCATTCTACACTATAAACATGGGTTTCTTGTGGACATGCACATGCAAGTCCACAACAAAGCCATGTATTCAGGATGTAAAGTTAGTAGTGGATCAACTGAAGTCAGGTGATAGAGGGTCTCAAAACCTATCAAATGAATCCCTATATGTGTGGTCCGAAATTTTATAGTTCAAGAGGCATTTGCAATGTTGTGAAATTTCGAAAAAAACGCAATCGCAATTACAACTAAACCATTAGGTTTAGGGCTGTGATTATTTTTTCTGAGATGAGCTAAATGGTTAGTTTTGGCAATGTTATGTCACTTTTTAACAGAGCTTATTAGAAATCAACGCAAAAAATTTGGACCACAACCGACGGTATATCCCAACTACCGCGTTTTTCTACGCGTCCATATTAGGCACGCATCGTCAGCTAGGAGCGCCGAAGATATGCCCAGAAGAAATAGAAGATATAATAGAAGCAGCCGAGGGAGATCCCTCTATAAGCACCAGAGCCGTTGCCCGAAGCAGAAACATATCCCATTCTTCAGTGTACACAACAGGGTTATATTTTAATCAAAATGTTTAAAACAACTGATTTAAACACTGTTTAAAACAGGGTTAAAAAACATGTTTAAAAAACTGAAATAATGTTTTTTTTAAAACTGTTTTTTTTGTTTAAAACATTCAAATTTAGCTGAAAAAAATGTTTAAAACACTGTTAATGTTTAAAACAGCAAAAAATAAATAAAAAACTATTGCCTATATAATCTAGCAACGTTAATGAAGTTGCTTGAAAGTGTTATTACTATTTATGTGTTTTTAATGTTATTATACAAGTAAATACATAGTAATATTATATGATTATACTGCTGCTTGTAGTGTACTAGTATTAGAGTTCAATGCAGTTTATTAAGTTCACTCGTTCATTAAGAAACATATTTTTTTCCACTAGTCTTATTTCCTAGTTTCATGTTTGATTAATTAATAAAAAATAAAGTATATTTTTTAGTACCTATGTGTTTTAACCTATGGCCCTTTTTGTCTCGTTTTGCAAAATAAAATCAATTTTAATCATACCTAAAAAATATAAAAAAAACTAAACAAATCACAAATGACAAAAAAACAGTGTTTAAAACAAATTGGTTTAAAACAGTGTTTAAAACATAACAACCCTGGTTTAAAACAACGTTTTTTTTCAACCCTAGCACATAATACTACGCTCGGAGAAGATGCATCCTTACCATGTACAAAAGTACAAGAATTGCTTCCAAGCGACTATGCACATCGGGTTGAATTTTGTGAGAATATGTTGAGAAGGTGCGAAGAGGATGCAACTTTTTTCGTCAGCATCTTAATCCAACTTTAAACGTAATGGAATATTCAACATGCTAAATTTCCATTCATGGAGCGTGGAAAATCCACATTGTATTCGCCGACACAGGTTTCAACGTCAGTTCGGTGTTAATTTATGGACTGGAGTTCTCAACAAAAAATTAATTGGACCATATCAACTGACCGCCAGGTTGAATGGTCAGTCATATCTTGATTTTCTACAAAGCAGTTTGCATGAGCTGCTAGATGATGTACCTTTGGACGTTCGAAGCCCGCATGTATTTTCAATGCGATGGTGGCCCATGCTACATTGCACGGGATGTACGGCATTACTTAGACAGTGCCTTTCTTAGACGTTGGATAGGTAGAGGTGGACACACGATGGCCTCCAAGGTCACCCGGTTTAAGGTCGCACGTCCCTTTTTTTCAACTGTGCGTTTGGAGCAGTATTATGAGCACTTATTGTCTGATTATTTCAGGGTGTGTATAAAAATGACTGATTTATGATAATCTCGTGTTTTTTTGTCAAAATGACAACTTTTTTTTGCCAATTTTTTTACAGTCCCAGCTTCGAAACAAATAATCGTAAAGGCATGAAATTAAGTGATTGCATTATGAATCAATAAAGGAACGTCCATTATCGCTCATTTTCCACATATAATTTATTTTTCGCATAAAAATTTTATTTTTCTTTTGAAGGAAAACGATTTTTTGAAAGTATGTGGATAAAAGACATAAAGAACTGAAAGAACAAGCCATCAAAGAAAAAATCAACTCATTTGCTCAAACGGTTTTTGAGTTGTAGATGTAATTTGACAAATATTTTGGCAAAACCACGCCTCCCGCTGACCACGCCCTCGGCGGAAGATTATTGGCCCTATTTAAGACAGGTGCGTCGTTCGCCATGCTGACTAGTTACCGTGTTGCCACGCGTGTGATTTATTCTTTGAGTACATAAGTGTTGTAGCTGTGATTATTTTCATTGTTTTAAGTGTATTTGGTGCTAATTGGTGTTTTGTTCTAACGTTATTCTCGCAGTTAGTTTTTGTTAAAATGCCTAAAGCCCGTGCTCCGCTATCAAGGAGACATACAGGAGGAGGAAAGAGATGTCTACGTCGAAAGAATGCTCTAAAAGCAAGGTAAGTATTGCTTTATAGAATATACAGTGTGGCAAGCAATAATTTCTCTAAAATCAATTTTTTTCCATTTGTTCGAATGACTTGACTCGGGTTTGACAAATTAGATTTGTATGAAAACTATATACTCGAAACAAATTAAATCTGGCAGGTATATTAAGTAGTAATGTAGCAACCACACATACATGGCACGGCATTTGTATTTCATCTGCTGTTATTCTAGATTTTATTATTGTTTATGCTATTTTTTCAAAAATAGCATCCGTGGAAATTCCAGAAGCAGAGTTTTGCTTTCACGTTTAAAACTACTTTAGAGTTTAGCAATATACTATGCCAAAAACCAACGTGACTGAACTGAACTTCAAAAGCAGAGAGATATATGAGCAGCTAAACTGTTAAACAGGAACTTCAGGCGCAACTGTTTAGAAAGAATTGAAATGCATTTTGAGGAATTACGAAATTCATTTCAAGTCGTGAGTATATGCTCAAAACATCTGTCATGGTTCGAAATGCACAAACGACGTCTACGTAACTAATCTTTTCAGTCTGCGGAAAGCCTGTGAATTTTGCCTTATTGCTGTTGCTTCTGCTCTTATATTCTGGTGCAAATCTTGAAGAGGCTAGTACACGAACAATAAAAATTAAATTTTCGTCTTCTTTTCATTATCTGTATGTAATATCTCATGCAATTTTCCTTTTTTTTCACTCCTCATTGTTGCTAATTATTATAGGATTAGTACCTGGAAATTCCCAAAATCTGGAGATAAAGACAGATCAAAAAGGAAGGTAAATAGTATATTTGAGTTGTTAAAAGAAAGCAGTAATTAAATGTTTGTTGTTTATTTACGATTTCGTATTTTCAAGATTTGCGTCTGAAAATCAGAGCAGCAGCAACAGCAATAAGGAAGAGTCTACACGCTTTTCGCAGAGTAAAAGGAAATTTTACAGCGAATTATGTTTATGCATTTCGAACCGAAATACATGGTTTAGGCATATGTCTGAATTAATTATGAACCTTTTATATGGAGGTTTTATAAGGGGATAATCTATACATCTGAATATAGAAATGTCAACCAACTGCGCCAGAAAATTGATGAAGCAAAAAATAAAAATTATGTTAAACGTAAATTCATTTCAAAGACTAAATGACAATTTAATTATAAGGTGTCACTTGTGTATAGAAAATAATGGAGGCCATTTCGAACATGTTCTTTAAGTTAAATTAAAATGATTTTCCACATTTGCTGGTAAATCGCCAAGCGGCTAAGCACAATAGGTTCTGTACTTGTAGGTGGTACGGATTTTATTGCGTTTCTTACGTTTGTCGCATCACAACAACGAATGTGACATGATACACTAATCGTAGCAAGCTGAAATTTTCAGGGTTTATTCTACATGGATTGAAAAAGTTTTTACAATAAAATGAATAATGAAATTCAACCTTAACTTTTTTTTACCGCCCTCCAAAGTTGAGGGATGGAAGAGAATTTTCACAAAAAAATAAATTTTAGATTTTTTGCATTGATTTCTAATAAGCTCGTTTAAACGTGACATAAGCATTGCTAAAACTAACCATTTAGCTCATCTCAAAAAAAAATCACAGCCCAAACCTAATGGTTTAGTTCTAATTGCGATTGAAGGTTCATTATCCCATTTTTTCGAAATTTCACAAAATTGCAAATATAAGTATAAGTTATAATATAGGGGTTCATTCGATAGGTTTTGAGGCTCTCTATCACCTGGCTTTCGTTGATCCACTACCAACTGTACACACTGTATATGCGCTAGATTGATTTTTTGTTTTGGCACTGCAACGTCTGGAGTATTGGAGCGAACGTGAATGCTGAGCTTTAGAAATACGGTCACAGTTTTTCAGTCACTCGGTAAAGGTGTATAAAAGCAACATACCGTTGTCTTTTCGATGACCTCGATACCAGGCCCAATGAGTGGCTGCTCCTTACTGGTCCCGACAGGAGGAGGAGCGTACCCCATGGCGACATGGAGCGGTTGTGGACCACCGGCAGGTGTCGGTACCATCGTCTTGCTGATGATCAGCCCCCGTCTGCCCGATGACGCCTGCGCTTTCGCCAGAGCGGCGGAATTCGCTCTGCTGACTGCCGCCTCTTGCATGCGCCGCTGCTTCATCTCGAAACTACGCTTGATGGCGCACATCTTCTTGTAGTCTTCCAGGGTTATGTGGAACGGCTTGCCACCCGATATCACCTGTGGATGAAAGAAATACCTTCAGTACAGTAAAATTATAGTCCAATGTGAGCTCAATTGTTTGGTGCGCAGAAAGGAGGCTGCCTGGCGAGTTTCATGGAGAAAAGTTGATGCTTTAATTATGTTGATGTTATTTTTCAGAATGTTCGCTTTACTACTTTAGATCATTTCCGCTCGCACTACCATATTGAGAAAATTGCATAGGTATTTTCACGGTTTTTGGTGGTAGCAAATTCATTCGCAATAAGTAAACATAGCGACTAACTGTACCATGTGTGGAGCTTGACTTTTTAGAAAAAAATGGACACTGTACAAAATCGTCACTGCTTTTGGCGGTTACGTCACGATATCATGTAGTGACAGACAAATTAATTATAGCAGAAAGAATGAACACTTATTTTATAGAAAGTGTAAATCAAATAGTGATGACGGTGATCCAAACTTATGTCCATTACAAGTATGTCAGAATTCATCAATGAAGCAATTTAAGACAATTAACATCAACAATCTAAGAAAAGCTATATCAAAATTGAAATCTAATAAAAATCCAAGTGAGAATCTCTCAAAAAATATTCTAAATGATTGTTTCAATATAATTTGAGAGAAATTATTATTATTGGTGAATCATAGTTTAGTACATGGTGAATTCCCATCAAAATTAAAGTGTTCCACCATTACTCCTGTGCCACAAGTTCAAAATTCTCAGCTGTATACAAATATGCGGCCGATTAATGTCTTGCCCGATGTTGAGAAGCTGTTCGAAGGGATAATATACGAACAAATCATAGAATTCATTGAAGAAACCAAAATTTTGATAAAAAATCAAGCTGGATTTAGAAAAAAAAGAAACGTCAATTCAAATGGTGGTGGAAGACTGGAGAAGAAGTATAGATTAGAAAGAATATATTGTAACAATATTTTTAGACTTCAAAAGGGCATTTGAGACTATAGATAGGGAAAAATTGTTAACGAAATTGCGTCACTATGGCTTTAAACGATCAGTATTACAGATTTTACAAAATCATTTAGTAAATAGAAGTAAAAAAACTTAAGTTGAAAATATTATGTCAAGTGTTGAAAATATATCAGTAGGGGTGCCACAGGGGAGTAAATTAGGGCCGTTACTGTTTATTATTTATATAAATGATATCTCTTGAGATTTTAGAACACTGCAAAATTCAAATATTTGCGGACGATACACTTATATATATACAGGGTGACTTCGAAGTTGAGTCATTTATTTTAACAGTGAGTAGATCTGATCAAAAGAAATGTTTTTTTCCTTTACCATTTTTCTGGTAAAATTAAAGTAACAAAGTTATAGCCCTTTGGAAGTTTGAGTACCGCCCTGTCTCAATAATAATATCATGTGCTCGTGTTTGGCAACAACGGATATAATCCGCCTTATCGGTTCATCGCATCGGAAACAAAAAAGCGAAAGAATTTGGAACGATGTGTCAGTCGGTAAGGCGTGTGAATAGTGTCTGTTGCGTGGCTCAAACGAAATAAAAAATGGCACATGTTTATGCGGATCGGTTTCCCAATCGAGTGCAACCAACCCCTCGTGCCTTTGTTAATGTAGTACAACGGGCTCGTGAATCAGGTGACTTAAGACCTCACAGGGGACCTCACGATCAAATACAGGTCCGCACTGAAATACTTGTCGGGAGGATACTTTATAAAACAAGGTAAAGCATTTTTTTTAATTTTTTTTTATTTTTACACACATATTTTGGTTTATCTTCCTTCTACAATCATTATCTGAAAATTAATGACTCAACTTCAAAGTCACCCTGTATATATATATATATATATATATATATATATATATATATATATATATCACATAAGCATTTGGACACTGCTTTGGAACTGTTAAATAGAAATATTGAAAAAAATATGAATTGGTTAAATGTCAATAAACTTAAACACTAATAAAATAAAATGTATGTCAGTAGGGAAACATTTAGGTGACAATGATTAATGCTGAAAAAATTGAAGTAGTCGAGTCATTTAAATATCTTGGTATATATGTGGATAGTAAGCTACTGTTTCACGAACATTATGAAAACATTATTTCAAAAATATTGAAATAGATGAATTACTTCTATAGAGTTTCCCATAATCTTAGTATGTATTCCAAAAAAATTGTGTATAACACTATCATTCTTCCCCATTTTTTATATTGTTCAACCATCTTGTTTACAGCGAATGAAAACATATTTTCAAAACTACAAATTCTACAAAATAAAGCTATGAGAATCACTTTAAATAAAAACATATATGCTAGGATTAAGTCTATGTTAGAAGAACTGCAGTGGTTGGATGTGAAAAATTTCATATATTCTTTAGTTCTCATTTTCATATTCAAATTAAAAAATCATTTATTACCACCACATTTAGAGAACTTCACACAATTAAATAGTCATTATCATAACTACGAAACTAGAGGAAGTATAGATTTTTATCTGCAAAATTGTACTAGTAGCATAACTAGTAAATCTATATTACAAAAGGGAGTATTTGAATTTAATAAATTGAATAATGATATTAAACAGAGTTCGAATTTAAAAATGTTTAAGGTGAAATTAAAGAATCACTTTATGAATAATCAAAATTCATAGTGACGTAATTTTAATTTTAATAGACAAGAATGTAAAATGACAGAAAATAGATTGAAGAAAAATATGTAACCGAATCATTATACAAAATTGACATTGTAGCATTAATGCTAAACAAATCTTCAACAACAACAACAAACAACTAAGTAATTAGATTGACTAACAGTATCATGTGCATAGCTCAACTTTCCTAAGGGAAACTGCACAGAACGCAGCGACTACTCGCTCTTGCACACACAAATGAATTATGTGATATAGGATCGCCTTTTTCACTTACTTTCTGAAAATACTTCTATAAATTTAATACAATCTATCGACATGTTAGTTGTACCTTCTGGCATTGCTATGTTTTATATACAAGATAAATCACAGGTAAACTCAAATCTCACTCCCATGACAAGCAATTTGTCATACTTAACAGTGATGAGGAAATGTGGAATACTCATTCGTCGACGAAAAAATGTTCAGGTCGGTAAGACAAAACTAAAAAAACGTATCTCTGTGTTTTTACACATACAAGCGTCCACGCATAAAGGTCGATGCATATGTATGTGTGTATGGGAGATGGATTTATGAAAGTGATTCCTGTAGTTTTACTGTGACGCGCGAAAATCGTGAAAAGACCTATATATAAATTATATGGCATCTTTAAGTTAATATGTGATATAGCTACGTTTAGCACATAAAGAATCGAAATGGCGAAATGTATTGTAACAAAAATTGTTTTTGGCCCTCGTTTCTCCAATGTGGCGGCACGAGCGAAAAATATAAACTGAAGCAAGATGAACATTCTGACAGAAAATTTACTACTATCAAATCATTGTTAGTTCTTTCTTAATATATACAAAAACTGTGGGCGATTAATAATCATCTTCCACTTTAAATCAAAGAAAATTTTTGTGCAGGCTTAAATATTAGGGTTATTTGGAATTAAATATATAATAAGTTCTATTTAGACACGTCGTTTTAAAATAAATAAAAGTTATATTGAAATATATTTTGCAATTGCACTAAAATATTGGTATCTTTACCTGCACCAAACCTTTCTGTCTAGTCAATCCCTTGCCTGGCTCAATTGGTATCAAATTTGGTCTCCAGTTCTTTGTTATTGGGAATTTGATTTTCTGGGATTGTGGTGGAATAGGTACTGGTGGTCCGGGGGGTGACGGCCCCTCCATGCGCAATGGAGGTCTGCCCATTGGCCTTGCCTCAGGCATACTTGTAGGTGGCATTTGTGGCTTTGATTGGATTGAAATCAAACCTGGAGGACCCTGCAAGTCAACTCGGTTAGCTCGTAAAAATCTACCATTGGAATTTAAAAGAAGGTTCTACATTTACTATAATCAGAAATTAAACACCGAAAACGCGCACTATGCTGTAGTAGTGTGCTGTCAACTTGAAGCATCTGTTTATCGTAAACATAAGAACTTTCGACTCAAGACAATCAACATGTGCATGTCTACAAGATATTAAAGAAATACGACACGAAGCATACGGGAATGGGGGTACAGCAGATTTGACTGGATTTGTAGTATGTTATATATATTATATATTATGACATGCGCACAAAGTTCGATAGTGGACAGTTTTCAAGGTATTGAAGGACAAGGTTGAGAAATTTAGCTAATTTGCCTCAAAATGTCAGCATAGATGACGTGTTATCCGGACGTGTCAAACAACTGACACGCAAGCTAGTATAAAACACATTAAACATCGGAATTACGATTTGTTGCGTTGGTTAAATCAGTGCAGTTGACAGTACCATCTCATTTGAATTGGAAACGAGCTTTACTAAATACATGAAATTTTTTTGCAAAATGAACGTTATGGTTTGAAATACCTATTTAAAGTATGCCCATTTTTCAAATTTTACTGTTATTTACTGTTATTGGTTAGGATATATTGGTTTTCAACTAGTATAGCATATTTTCAAAACAAATTCATTTTTATTATCGCATTAACAAAAATATTAACAAAAAATTCGAACCATAACCTTCATCTTATGGCACCCTGTATATGTAGAAAGAAACGAGCGAGCAGATTCCATTATGAACAAGATTTACAAGGTGTAAAGAGTTTCAAAGTGTAAATATGTTGTTTTTTAAACTCATTTCGTTATATGATGCTCTCAGATATAACATAACCAGACTGAACTTTGCCCAAACCTCCATATAGAAATTTTTTCATTAACGAACTTTGCTCCCATGGAGACTTTTAACCAGGAGATCGTAATTTACAACTTACTGCAAATGCAATTCCAATTTCCCCTTTCCAATATGTTTTGTGTAGCAATGTTCAAAAGAAAAATGACCGAAAATCATAACGTCATAAACATTTTGAGAGATCCTTTTGAGCATATCGTTTGTAACAATTTCCTATTGTTTGAGCGCATAACAAGGTGTCTATAAACATTTTTCCAAACCACTAAAAAAATTAAGAGAGTAAGAAAAAATCTAAATTTCTTGATGATTTCTGACAGGCTGTATTTGGGTGAAAAATGGTCGTATCTAGACTTAAAAAAGGCATAGTTTGGTGCGGAGATATCCGACTCTGAATGAGAACGGATCCTTGTCATCGACCACTAATATCTCGGTAACCAGTGATCGCACAGAGAATGTAAGGGTATTTCTGAAAACTGGAATACTTTGAATCTTTGAGGATTTTATTTGTTTCCTTAGTATTGATTTTAAAAAGGTGTAAAAGGGTGAAAAAAGTTACTTTTTGCCTTGGAAAAGAGACCTCATTTTTGGGACTGCTAATGAGAAGGGTGATTTTTTTTATATACCTCAATGGACCCCTAATAACCCTGCATAACGGCAGATCGATCCATTGTACGGTTTTTCCGGACCGAGAGGTCAGTGTTTGAAAATAATGCAAATTTAGTGTCTGATCTTACTCATTTCGGTCGGACGGAACACTGAATATTTTCTAGATTCGTCCCTTTTATTTTTTGGACTATTCCATGAATAAAATATTTTTTCAATTGCTATTTTTAAAACTGAAGCCGTTACAGATATCCAAAATAAGAAAATTATGTCTACATTTTCAACCAGATTACAGGGTGTTTTGATACAAAATTTTGCTCCTTTGATTTCTTTCAAATTTGACCGATCGGTGCGGAGCAACCGAACTATGGATTGATATACCATCGTGTAGGGTTATTAGTTGTTCATTGAGGTACAAAAGACCTAAAAACATTACCCTTCACATTAGTAGTTCCAAAAATGCGGTCGGTTTTTCAAACCAAAGCAAACAGTTTTTTGACTTATTTAAAATCAATACTAGGAAAAAAAAATCCTCAAAGATTGCAATCAAATCTTTTAGGAGATTATTCCAGTTTTCGGAAATACCCCGCTCTCTGTGCGATCACTGGTTGACCGAGATATCATGAGGTCGATGGCAAAAGAATTCTGTTTCAATCAAAATCTCCGCGTCGAATGATCGTATCGATATTTTGAAAACAGGATATTCAAGCTAAATAAACGGGATAACAGGAAAACATGTTTTCAAGCCCGTGGACTAAAAAGCAAACATTTTGTAAAAAAAAAATGTATAAGAACCGTTGCGCATAAAAATGTTCGACTAAAGAAAAACCTAAAAACTAGGACCTTAAAGCTTTAAAATTCTTTTTTTAAAGTACGTCCATTTTCACAGAAATACAACCTGCCAAAAATCATTGAAAAATTTGGATGTTTTTCGTGCTCCTTTAATTTTTTTTGAGTGGTTATATACTTAATATTTTCAATTGAATGTCTAACCTTTCCGTTGGTATAAAGGGCAACTTTAGTTTCATGATATGTCTTGAGTATTATTATTAGTTTTTTTTACCTTAGATGGGGGTCGCACTGGAGGCGTTGGTACTTGAGTAAGCGTTACGGAACCACCTCCTATGCTACCAGGGGTACTTCTGATTATCGTAGTAGCTACAGGTAGAGACGCAGGTACCGATTGGCTCTTAGAGGATACAGATGTAATTGTAGCAGCTGAAAAAAAAAAACCTTCAGTATACATGTTACGGGCAATGACGATAATTCGAACACTGACATTATTGGCCAAATAATGTGAATACCCAGCCAAGTTGAGCAGTATCAACAAATTCAGAATAGGTAGAAGGGGCCAGTGAAGGATTTGTTTGTCGGATCAAAGTGCATACTACAATTGTACTTGAAAAGTCAATCTGTGTTTTGATGTCATTAAGGCCCATATCGTCGCCTTTATGGCCTCCTTGATTGTCATAGTTTTCTACTTCTCCGTGTCAGCGCTCTATTTTGAGGTTATGTCCCCTAACATCTATTTGCATCAAATTGTGCTTGCTTTTGAGTAATATCATGTTTTATCAGCCTGAAACTTCCTACAATTTAAAAAGAAAACATATCTTCACAATAGGAGAGCGCTGACGCTGACTCGGGATGGATGCAATCTAGAAATTTTTGAAGGAGAGAAAGGAGTATGACAATCAACGAGGCCATAAACGCGCCCTACAATTGTAGGGACGATACGGGCCTAAATTCATACTTTTAGTGTTGCTTTTTAAAAGTGCTAGTGTTTGCAGATAATTGTGGTGTTACACTATTTAAAGACATGGTACTTCTTACATAATATGCAAAGAGCGGCACAAGCCTAATGTAGATGTTTCCAGCTGTAAGTATTATGTCGCTACAATGCTGTCACTTTGGTAGGCATTGGTGGATAAATTATGCACTAAAACTACACAATTTTTGCGACAAACTCAATGTAGATATATAGGCTTGACTCATTCTAATCTATTCGAATTCGTTGATAGTCGGCCATTAACGTCAATTCCCAAATATTGGCATTGCCCGTAACATATACGAGCCCCTTCCCACTTCAGTTGGCCCACTTCAAGATGTGTACCAAAATATGCTTTATAAACTAAACATGACGAAACTATTCTAAAACAATTTATTTTCTCAAAAACATTTTAGATACACTATAGTCGTAAAAAATACATATTTGAAATCACTTAGACCTATAACTAATAGAACATCTAAACAAATAAACAATGTGCGAAGTTAACAAAGCAACAATTGAAAGATTACCATTGGGTAACATCACTTTTATTTTTTATTATGGCTGAAATTCTTTGGGGCATAGTGTTAACCAAGTTTTGGCAAACATTTGGTGTAAAACAATCCCATATTTCTTGAAGCTTTTGTCTCAGTTCGGTGATTGTACGAGCAGGATGTTGTCGTAGAACCTTTTTCATCTCGTGCCACAAAGTTTCAATGGGTGACAGATCTGAACTGCTAGAAACTCATTTCAAAAGTGGTATGGCACGCTGCATCATCTTGCTGAAACACAAAATCTTGGCCGGATGTCAAACATTCTTCCATCATTGGTAAAAACGATTCTTCTAAAATTGCCAAATATTTGTTTGTATCCACATTTCCATCAATAAAATGAAGCATTGTATTGCACACCATTGTTGAGGTGTCCATTGTCTATGTTCTTTAGCCCATCTAAGCCGATTTTTCTTTTGCAGTGGAGTTAATAGTGGCTTTTCTTTGGCATATAAACAAGTTGTGCAACTGTACGGTTTTTACTTCACTTTTTTTTATAAGAAAACTTACCTTGAAGTGCTAAATCCCAGTTTGTGGGCCTCTCTATGAGTTGTGGATCTCGAAATTCTCCTTCCAACAGCATCACTCCACAGAGCACTTAATTGTAAATAATTGGCACGCCTGTTTTTCACGATTATTCTTCTTAGTGCTCTTCGGTCGGCATTTGTGATATATTACTTTTTTTCACATATCGTGGCTTAATATTAACTGAACCAGTTACGTTATATCTTCTAACAATATTTCTCACACTGTACAGCGATAAGTCTAACAAAGTTGCAATTTCTGAGTTTGATTTCCCAGAATTAAAAAAAATAATTATCAGTAACCGAATTTTCTCACTAATAACCTTTCCTCTACCCATTTTGAAAACCTTAACTACCCAAAACTATTTTAAACGTATTCTGACAGCTGTGATTAATAAAAACAATTGTCATGGCTTTTATTTTTCACAGCCACCTATGCGTTATAGACTTATTTTGCATTGAAATGAAAATAGGTTGATATACTGTAATTGCAACATGTGTTATTTTTATGCTGCAAATTTGATTAGGTAGTGATAAAGTTGGTGTTTCTACTATATATTATCAAAATATTCATTGTTAATATTTTAAACCTATAACACCCTGCTACATTTTTATTATTTGTGTTTGATAAGAAAAATACTAAGATTTCAATAGTTGGGCCAACTGAAGTGGGAAGGGGCTCGTAGTTCGAGTTTATTATACTCGTACAGGCAAGTCGTGTGTATGAATGAGTGGCGGCACCGGCATAAAGATATAATAACTGTTTGATAGCAAGATAACTGATGATCTATAATAGGAGTGACGTCATCGTAACTGTAGATTCGATTTCGCATGAAAATTTAAACAGCTACTTTCAATTCACTCAAATAGCTTTTTTGTTTGAATTTTCCACACAGTATGTTCTGTTCTACATGCAAAGCTTTAAAATAGGAGCAAAAACAAAAATATCGCATGTTCTGTCATAAAAGGACCTAAACATTTTAATTCTGTAAAGAACAGACTAAGCGCTTCTAAAAACTCAGTGGAGAATATACGGTTCAAAATACTGACCACGTTCTGGGCAAATTTGTCAATTTCTAGGTTAGCTATTACTTTGTCATCCTAGTCCGGCAGGACTAGATGTTACATAACGAGGAAGTCCAAAAAAAGTAGGGGTAGAGGCCCGAAACAATTCCAGCTACGCATGGAGATATGAACAGTGCTTTTCAAAAAGCCCATCTACTTATTTTTCGAACGGGTAAAGTCAGCAACTTGAAATTCGAGGTTATGAAATTGATGCATTTCTACTATATTTCATCGTGAAGAAGGCAGTTGCAGATTTCAAGATGGCAGCTGGGCGTCATTTTGGAACATTTTTTAAAATGGAATGGGGGGTCGTGTGGTACCTCAATTTGAAGCTTTATGAGTAATTTATAACCTTAAAAATCACCATTTTTCAAAATATAGCACTGACAAAGTTTAGTTGTTTTTGTAAATTGAGTAGCTTATAACTCAATAAACAATCATCGAAGCACTATAATACAGGGTGTTCCGTACCTAAATGGACTTAGTGAAGTGGTAGTACATAGTACAAGACCTTTTCATATCTAAAAATAAAAAAGTTCTAAATTCACGATGTAAATATCTCAGACACCAATGAAACGTGAACCATAGAATTTTGAATGATAACAAAGTTGCCTAGGAGTAGCATGAAACTAGACGAGCGGCTGAAAATTCCAGGGCTGTGCTCGTTTTTTTCACTTTTATATTTTTGCTCAAAATAAACACCTCCTTCTTGAAGTTTTCAACTTTTATTTTTTGTTAAAATAAAGCATTTATGCTTAAATTTCACCAACCCACATTTGTTAACCTTTCAAAAAATAAGTAGGGGACCGTCCTAAAAAGCCATAGAATATACGGAAAGAAAAACGTTACCTTACTTCAAAACAGGAAAATAAGTGAGACCTACGTTTATTTTTCATTAACTTTCCTCCAATATTTTTTGAATCAACTTATTATTTCAGGAAGTCTAAAAATATCCACAAAACTTTTATTGTTTTCACGTTACACGTTTAAATTATAAAACTATGTAAATTTACTCCAAAAAGTACAAAAAAGACAGTTGCCGGTTTTTATGGGCAAAATGACATTCCTTTCAATATTAGACCGCCACTCAAAAGGAATCTTGTAAGTAAAACTAAAATGTTTATCTCTCAAAACGTTGTCTAATTGGATGTATTTTTACGGTATGACCATTTACGATTTAGGAAACATCATAATCTTATACGCCGGACACACCATCGCCATGATTTTTTTGTCACACCCCCGCTTCGGAAACCGATGTCCCCCAAATCCAAGCTATATATACGCCATACTAGTGAAGCATTCAGAAGTGTGTCACCTCGTAAGGCTTTTTCCTCAAAGAGATTGGTAAATATTTTTTTACCGCTCGAAACTTCCACTGGTGAAAATTCGAGCATACCCAACATTTTTAACCTCATCAAATTAAAATATCTCTTCAAAAATGTTGTACTTACAAGGGTTAGCTGATGCACTCGTGATAATCCCACTACTGCTCCTTTGCATTTTGTTAAACTGCAACATAGTAAGCGGTTGAATGTTACCAGCACTGCTAGGTATGTTATCATATGCTCTCAGTCTATTATGAACTGACTCGCTGTAGTTTATTGAGTGATGACTGGCTCTTGGAGACAGTACCAAGTCACCATTACGGAAGTATTTTTCTAGAAGGATCAGATGCCTCATGAAACTGCTTTGGTTGCCGTAGGGTTTCTGGAGCTCCTGCCATAATCTGCAAAAAAAAATGGCGTCAAATACGTTGACTCTGCACTTCCCACGCAACGCGATCATCGATTTATAAAAAGTCATATCCCTTATAATTTCATTCCTTTCAGAAAAACAGTCAACTACGAATATGTATAACAAATGGATTAAATAGAAGTCAGTCAAATAGGCCTACACAAATTCGTCCCTAGTTCTCCTTTTGGAGATTGTTCCACAATCTCGATACCCGCGAGACAAAGGAGCGGTGGTATCGGCCAGTTCTTTATTTGGCCAGTTCTTTATTTACGAAGTTCGATGCGGTTAGGATGGGAGCCCGAAGTCAGGCGGGTCTGTCTGGCAGGCACATCGCTGAGCGTCATGATGGAGGAGAGCTAGCGGTAGAAGATAGCTAGATTGCCGATAGCTAGGCTGTGCGAAAGGGTCCCGAGACTGTCTGTTAGAGATGAGTTAGAGAAGAGTCATCGATCAGTCGGGCAGCCCTCCTCTGAACAGCATCAAGCATGAATAATGTAGTTGGGGCGGCAGCACCCCAAACATGTGAGTAATACTCGAGACTACTAAAATACTTAATAGCTCTAAATAAATGTCATAGTTTTTCCCAGCAGCTGCCGCTATTGACGAGATGTGTTCATGCCAGATCAAGTCCTCGGTGATCTGGACTCCGACCAGCCGAAATGAACGTACGAGCGCTAGGACTCTTTTTGTTCGTCAAGGTACAGTACTGTGTTTTGGAAGCAGTAAACTGTACAAGATTGTTGCGTCCCCAAGTAGTGATAACCTCCAGGTCTCTCGTCAGAGAGAAAGTCGCTGCTAGTCTTCTTTTTTCTAGCTCACTGACAGAGATCGGCTTGTCGCTCTGAATTCATGCATGTAGGGTGTTGTACTTAGTAAAGCTGTGCATTGGGTTGATCGCACAGGAAAGGAGGTCGTTGATATGTAAGAGAAACGGTGTCGGAGCCAAGACCGATCCCTAGGAACGCCCGCCTTGACGTTGGGGGATGAAGAAGAGAACACGTCAATTACGACGGATATCTTGCGGCCACAGAGAAAGTCAGCCACCCACCCGCACTTTCGTGATATCAAGATCAACGGCATGAGCTTCACTATAAGACTGAATGAGTTTACTCTACGATTGCGTGACGTAAGCTAGGTCCTCTGTGGATCGCTGGTGCCGAAAACCATACTGCCGCGCTAACTAAGCCGTGACTTTCGAGGTACTCGAGAAGCCCGCAATTTATGCACTTCTCCAACACCTTACTTATAACAGAAAGCAGAGCTATATGGCAGTTGAAAGGTTCGGTCTTAGATCTTTGTTTTGGGATGGGTTGGTCATGAGCAAATTTCCAGTTTTCTGAAAAGGTGCCGGATTCGTAAGATATACGGAAGAGACGCGAAACGACTGGAGCAAACTTCGCTGCACACCTCTTCAATACAAACGGCAGAAATCAAGTCCGGACCAGAAGCTTTGTTGACGCCGAGCGACAAGAGCATCCGTCTGGATGTGTCCATGGTGGAGTTGGCAGCAAATATCTTGGATTTTGGAGAGTAGCAGGAATACATGTCTCTGCTCCCCTTATTAAACAATCCACCAGCGCAGAAATCAAGGCATTTCAATGGTTCTTCACAAGTCTGAAAAAAAGTAACAACGATCTATTGGCCCTCTTGCCTGGAGTGCGTTCACGTGCTAGTACTTGGCACGCATAGTTGTACACTACTAACACTCGATCGTTCGGATGATTCTATCTGTTGATCGTACACATCGGTGAGAGGATTGAAGGGCTGAGTAACTTTTTAATTCCGCTAGTGGTGTATGGAATAATAATCGCCCGACATGGGCCAAACAGATCCTTGATATTGTTTATGTTTGTTTTGATTTTCAAACGGCTACTAGGATAGATATAATAAAATAAGAACATCAAAATAAATACTATATATCTCCATATATACACTCTAGTAGATCGAGTGTTTTCTCTTTCACACCCACTAGATGCGAGCAAAAAAATTATTACTAAAATGGCCAAGAGAAAAACCTGGAAAATATTTTCAAGTTTCTGAAATGGCCGCTAAGCGGCGTAACTGCAATCTTGAATCTAAAAAGTAATGTTTCTGTGAATTTCGCTATATTAACATAACAAAAAATACCTGATCATTAAATTCGAGGATACAATTTTGCTGTATCTCTAAAAATAAGTGGTGGGGGGTATTCAAAGGTTTCCGTATCTTCGAAATGGCTGAGCTGATTTCAACACACTTGAGCTAGTTGAAAAGAGCTATTCTTGGGCTACAAATGTTATAATATTTGAAGTTTTGTTAGTTTCACATGTGGCCGCTAGAGGACTCTTTTCGACATTCCGACAGAAATGGTTAATTTTATCAAAAAAAAAAAAAAAATAAATGCATTGGTATGATTTTTTCTTGAAAAAGTAGCTAAATGATGTCAAATCAAGGAGGCCATAAAGGCGTCTTACAATATTGTAGGAACGACTGACGATACGGTCCTAAACAAGCTCGCGAATCTCGATATCTTGTTCCTAACCTAAAATTTAGGCCAAAGAAAATTTTATACGGAAGTCCCTTAAATTTTTATTTTTTTAATCTATGTTTCTGGAATTTCTTTTTATTATTAAGTTGTGGCCGATTTAAAAAAGAAAGGTTTTTGATGCCCCCGTAAATGCCCGAAATGTTGACCACGTTCTATGCATTCCTGAAGCCCCTCATGTGTAGATAAAACTGCAGCTTCAATTTCTGCTCTCGGTATATTACGTATTGCATTACGAATCCGGTTTTTCATATCTTCTCTGGTTGTAGGTTGAGTCTGAAACACGAAGCTCTTTAACCGTCCCCATCAATAACAATCAAAACAAGTTAAGTCTGGTGATCGCGAAGGCCATGTTCTCACAAAATAATAGCAACATGTGCTGCAAAAACCAGTTTTATCGGGTCTCCAGTGGCACATCTTCCAACAACAACGGTAATTGATTGTCCAAAAAGTCAAGAAAGACATTGCCAATTAGGGATTGCTCGAAAAAATATGGCCCAATAATTTTGCCTCCCAGTATGCAACACCACACATTTAAACTCCAATGACCTGAACTTCACGCAACCAATGTGGATTTTCTGCAGACCAATAATATAATGTAATATTGTGCAGATCGACTCTCCCGTCACTATTAAAGGTGACTTCATCGGTCCAAAGAATTTGAAATAAAATTTGTCTACTTTCGCGTATCATGCCAACGTTCAATGGCAATAGTTCAACCTTCGATCAAAGTTTTACTCTTTCAAGGCCTGATGCAAAACGACATACATGACATATAAAAGTTAAATTTGAATAAATCCCTATATTTTGATGGCCTTTTACCTATGGTCCTTCAAAATATTTTGAACCTTTGTTTGTGATAGGGATAATTGCTCTTGTGCTAACATGATTTCCTTCATTATACCCCAGTACGCGGTTAATATTTTCTTGTGTTCTTCCAGTTCTTTGCTGTTGAAACGGAGGTCGAAAACTACCATTAACTCGTAAGCTCGCCACGACGATTCGTATATCGAGTCGCGTAAACTCTTTTTGCTACTGCGCCATTCTGAAGACATTGAAAATAAACTGCAAGCATATCAACAGCTTCATGGTTCGTAAAACGCATTTGGTAAGCACAAAAATTGCTCAAAGTAACGCCAAACTATTGACATCTATTGACAATTTGACGATTATTTATGTTTTGATTAGGTATGTGTTTTGTTGCATTCCAAGGCCTGCTTCTACTAATTATAATCTTTTTCGTACACACCCATAGCGAATATGCATTTCAACAATGCCTTTTGTTATTAGCATTGCTTACTCAACTTTCAGCTATATTTTGTAATATTTTCAAAAAGGGTGATTTTATTCTGATGAATAAAAAAGAATTCCAGAAAAATTAGTTTGAAAAAATGAAAATTCAAAAGATTTCCGTATAAAATTTTCTTTGGCCTAAATTTTAGGTTAAGAACAAGATATCGAGATGCGGTTTTCGTGAGCTTATTTAGACATCATTTAGCTACTTTTTCATAAAAATAAAATCATATCAATACATCTAATTAAAAAAAACATTTCTGCCGAACAAGTCCTCTAGCGGCCACATGAGAAAGTAACAAAACTTCAAATATTATAAAATTTGAAGCCCAAGAATATCTTTTTTCACATAGCCCAAGTTTTTTAAAATCGTTTTGAATATATAGGGTGTTTTTTACGGCAACCTTTGAATACCCCCGCAAAATTGTTAAACAAAAAAGGTTCAGATCATCCTGGAATTAGAGATCAGGTATTTTTTATGTTAATATAGCGGACTTCACAGAAACATCACTTCTTTAGATTCAAGATTGCAGTTACGCTCCCTAGTGGCCATTTCAGAAACTTGAAAATATTTTCATCAACCATTCTTAAGCAATTTAGTAGCCTGTGTGATGACAAATTCCGACAAGTGTATGTGTCTACACATTGCAGATATCATTGTCAAGGTATAGCAAAGATGTAAGCCGGCCTATATGCTGCAATCTGTACGTGATGGCTGGTCTAATGTTGCCATGGTTGTAGCCAAACTGTTTAGAGGCTGTTTAGGTTATCATAAAATAAGTTATGTTTAGACGTTTTCTGATATTTATCAACCGCGACAGTTCAGAGGATTTCAAACATCTGAAACATCATACGATGTTCGTCTGGTGAATATGACCTTGTGGTCAACCGATGTATATTATGTGCTATATTTCTTTAGGTGGTGTTTTCAGAGGTTAATATGTGTTGTGTTATTACGAGTTATCTCCGTCCTCAACGGGTCCCCATACCAAGACACTACAGGTAGCACTGGCTAACACAAAATTTAAGTTTTGTAAATTGGATTTGGCTGAACTACTTGTACTAGATGTTATTCCAGCTGTTTTTCCATTGTCGAGTATTCATTGTAGGACAGAATAAGTTCTTTTGATTTCTTCGGATTCTCGGGATAAACAGGAGTTAAAAAGTGCCCTTCTTCATGTCGCCAACGTTTCGGCGTTTACTTTTCGCCTTCTTCAGGACTAAAAAATGCTTTTGTAAAATTTCAAAGTCATGTTTCAGCATTAAATAATAATAATTTATTCACATCAATTACAAATTGTGAATACTTGATGTGCCACAAAAGGAAAATATCCTAGTATGTGGAAACATTCTAACACAACATACATATAACATAGTAGTTACAATAAATTGATTGGAATAAAAAAAATCTATGTAATATAAATTATTACATTAATTTTGTATCATAGATTTGCATGAAGAAAAGATATTTATGTTATTTTTTTTAGAAATTACATCATGTTTATATCAGTAATCAATAGCCACCCGTATAAATATTATGGTAAGTTATCATATAATTTATATATAAGATTTCGACATTATTTTCTTTTTTGGTGTTGTGCAATAGTTATTTGTTTATTTTTATTTCTAGTATCATATGGAATTCTAATATAACATTATACCAAAATACTTTTTTATATACATAATAAAAGTTTTGATTCTATGAACACCAATTTGGATGGATATAGTAAAAGTTTGTTGTTAATTGTTTTTATGTATTATTTGAAAAAAAAATAGATGGTTATTATTCGTCCCCAGATAATAATTCCATAGATTATGTGGCATTCAACTAATGTTTGATATAACATTTTTAATTGGGTTTCATTGAACATTTGTCTGTAACATCTGAATTTATATAACAGAAATCTAAGTTTCTTTTTAATGTATTCGATAAGTTCATATAAAAATATCGACCAATACACAAAGACATAAAAACATTATCATTGTTTTTGTTTTTTGTTCTGTCGTTTTTATGTCTGTGCATTTTCTTGGTCAATATTTATTTAGCCCTGAAAAAAGCCATAAATAAACAACGAAACGTGGGTAACGATGACATCAAAAATACATATCAGACACTGAGATAAGAACTTATGTCTTTTGAATCGTTTCTAAATCATGAATACTAACCTTTTAGTTTCCAAGTCGTACTGTATTGTAGTGGTACCCCTCTCCCATCCTTCTGGGGTTTTATCTTTCACACTGTTGAAGTCAATATGCGCATTCAGGGGTAGTTCCTCCTCACCAGGAAATAGCTGCCTCACTGATATAGATGGGTTACATCCAAGCTTTTGTACTGCCAAATCACCATTCTTATTCGAGTCGGACAGTTTTGATATTTTGGTTATTTCGACGGAAGGCAGGTTTTGCTGGAAGAAACCTTTTTTTTAGTATCTATATATCATAGCCAAGTAACTTAATGCCTCTTTAATAAAAGGCACCGTTCAATTAGCGGCTGGATGATGTTCAGCCATTGCGTCTAGTACAATATGCAGTGATCCAGCTGGGAGATGTTTGGGCCAATGAAACATAGGCATATTGTTTATTTGAAGAATATTTTATTTTTTTTAATAAAGTCGGGTATTATTATTATATTTCACGGATAATTTTTGGACGCCCAATTTTTTAAAATGTGAACTAAAAATCAATATTAACTTTCTTCTGCTTACTATATCTCCAGGTTTCCTGGGAGGTACTTGCGCAGAACCATAGCCATTACCAGGTCCAGGTGAATCCTTTCTGAAATCGCTATCACTACCACAATCCATTGCAATAGCTGGAATCAAAGTGTTGTAGTCTACCCCGTTATAGTCGTCACTAGGCGATTCTGATCGGGACTGGGATTGGCTCATATCAGATGAGGGAACTCTTTCCTGTTTTAAAGAGTTGAAATCACATATTAACAACTATGAAAACGTTGGGTCGTGACACCAAGCAAAAGTGCAAAGTATAGACTAATCTTTTGGTGCTGTGCGAAACTGGCATATTTTTCGAAATAATAAATATCGTTTTCAAAATATACGTACAAAAAAGCCTACAAATTTCATCAATCTCTGTTGGTCAATTTTGAGCTCTGAATATAGCTAAATTTTATTAGTCTCATAAAAAATTCTGTTTTCGACCAAAATATTTACAACATAGCAGTAATCAAATCTCAAAATAGGGGCTTTTGAAGTCGGATTTGTCATTACATGGATGGAAAAACGTACCCTTTTTTCGGGCGTTTCTCCAGTTTCTTCGTATCCTCCATCTTCGTTTGAATTTTTGACTAGTTTTTTCTTCTTTTCTATCCTACTCGGCATTGTTAAAGGTTCCTCTGCTGCAGCTTCGTCCATTTTCGCTATGTCATTGAAATGTAGTAATCTGAACCAAATGGAAATGATCATTAAATAATCTCGCACATGAGCAATGGAAAAATATTTCTTGGCAGAATAACTGACTTGTTTCTTATTTTTTATACAGGGACAAAATATATTTCAGGAGCAGAATGTACACCGGAAAGTAACACCTAGTCCTGTGCTTGGGTTTAGAGGGAATATACCTCGTGAGTTTTCCGTTCTTTAGGGTTTAAATGTTCAGTTTCATTTCTGGTCATGATCCGACTAAATTTTTAGACAGTGACTATTTATATTTTTGATAACATAATTTTGACTTCATTATTGATCAAGTTCGTATCAACTAAAATCGCAGTAGTACTGTTGATAATGAAACTACCTCAATCTTTTGATTATATTGTACAACTTATCTAATTTATACCTCTAGGTCTCCTTCCATACACGATGAGCTTATTCTTTTCTTAAGAAATCTTTACATTTTTTTGTCCTAGACAGTAAATAAACTGGTATTCTTCAACTCTCGATAATTTGTTGTTTCATTTCGTAGCCATGTAGTTCAACTACACATAACTCCAACTGAGTGTCAGACTTTTATTTGAAAAGTGATAAGGTCATAGCTTTTGAAGATTCTTTTGATTAGTTTTGAAACATTAAATATACAACTGCAGTGTAAAATCAACAAAGTAAATTGATCTTAGTGTTGTTACCACCTAATATTTCGTGTTATGAACGGTTTCCGATATCAGCTCCAACCGCACCAAATTTTTAGTAACATGATCTTTAAATTACTGAGTAACTTAAATGTGATTGTTTAAGCGTCTCGATTTTATATACTTTCATGATTGTCCATTTATATATTTTATCTATTTATATATTCAATCTTTTATCAAACATTTTTGGTTAATGTTCGTACTGATGTAGTAGCAGAAAATAACTACTTTCTTTTTTATAGTTTGATTTGCAATATCAACTTTATTCTATCGCCCCTAATATGCTCCAGTCACTTCTTAAATGATCAAAAGGATCAGTAAAATATCTAAATATCTTATCGTGACTATCTTAGCTAATTAATTAAAGTATTAAGCTAGTTAACTAATTTCGTTGCGCTAATTTATGTAATAACGACCAACCTGCTACATCCCTCATTTTTTGTAGAACTATTGGGCTTTTAAAAAATGGATCCAGGTGCAGTTAAAGCATCTCAGTGTTTCTTCATGTTTGTTAATTATTTTTTAGGATTGTCAAGGATTCCATTGTTTTTCTTTGTGATCGAAATCAATGTTATTTTCTCACCTTCTCTTGTACCCACTGAAAAACTCTTCTTCCCCAGCTTCATCATCTTCATCATCCTCTTGCATTCGCCTCACAGCCATCGTGCCGAAACACTTGCACAGTTTGCATATCACCGGTCTTTCCGCCAGCTGAATTGGTATATCGGCTTTTTCCAAGGCCTCCGCTAGAGTTTGCGCTTCGGACGTCGGCACACGGTGGGCGTGGTTTCGAGCCAGGCGGCGTTTGCACATCGCGCATACCATTAGATGTTCCAAACGGGCATGGTGTTCGGAACAAATGGGAATGGAGTGTAGACCAGGGTTGTCCAAGTCGATGTTGATCTAGAAACAAAGTTCAATACCAAACTGTAATAAAAAATAGAAGTTTACAAGCATTGGTGAATAACAATATATATATAGATATATATATATATCCTTATCCTTGAATTTCTTTGGTTAGAAGGCAAAGTATTGCATAAGCACACTCTTATAACTTAAACTCGAGCTTTCGATGGTCGCTGAAATTGTTCTTAAACGACAGTGAAGGTAACACATAGTCGACGAACAAAAAACTGGACTGATGAGGTTCGATTAGGACGGAATTATTATATTAATAAATGGCAAATCATAGCTATGTTTTTTTTTATTTTAAAAATTCTTTTAAACACTGATTGATTTGGAAGAACTTGAAAAACTATCAACTATTGAAAAATCCTTCGAGATTTCATTTTTCCCCTCTCGGGGGTATTTCGCGCCAATATTTCTAGGGTGAAAGTCCATGCGAAAATAAAAAAAAAGTTCATATAGATATGGGTCAAAAGATGCTCCTCTACCGAGATACAGGGTGATGAAGTTCCATTAACTAAATTTAAACCAAATATATCTATGGAGCAGGTAAAGATACCAGTATAGTTAGTATTTTAGAGATTCTGCTAACATCAGCAATAAACACACAGAGATTCCTGGTTCAAACTAAACCAGAGACGTAGAAACTGGGGTACCTGGACCGCTAATGGAAATATTTTTTACGCCACTGCTCTTTTCGGAGAGAGTGCATTTTATAAAATACCATTCAATTTTGTATACATTTTGCCCCTTAAGGAATTTTTGTCAGATCATTCGTTTTGGGAACATTTAGGTTCGAATGTTTAAGATGAAATTCTTAAGTATTCTTATGAAAAGGTTTAGCCCCCCTATTCTGAAAACGCCATGAAGCGTGATATTGGAAACATTATATGGCATGTGACGAAAGCTATGCCACCTAATTCAACATCCCTTGTATAATATGCGTATCTTATCTTCAATCAGTAACGTAGAAGCTTACCATTCATTAAACCTTGTTCATGCACGCCACTGGTTTTCATACTTCTCATGGTATTACCCATTTTAGATTCTTCTGTTTGTCCAAAATCACAACTAGTAATTGTGGAACCAATCAAGTTGGATAAAATTAATTTTATTTTACTTCTGAAATTATCGGCATTTTTTATAAAATTTCTTTAGCATTTCGGATTAAGTGAGCTTAATAAACAAGATATCACAAATCGTTAGCAACCTCTGACACGAAGTATGAGAATGAAGTATACAGAAGGTTTTCACCATTGTTCATACTAAGCCAGGTATTTTGCACAGTCAGATAATCTTTGTGGTGTAGAGCACGTGCTTGTGTTGAATCCAGAGGTGGTCACTTTTAACACCTCCATTAGGTTGGATGCTACAGCATTTATACAGCATTATTTTTTGTTCCCAATGTTACATCCTCATAAATTTAGAAATAACCTACGTAAGTTGTAACAAATGTAATGTTTATTGTTGTCGAGTTTAATTCTTATTAGCTATATCAGTTTATTTTTGAAATTCAATAATGAAATTTGTCATTAATGATAATAACAATGTAATGCATGAAATTTTCTACATGACACTTCCGGTTCACTCAAAATATGAGACTGAGCTTTTTAAAAACATTTAAGTTATGTCAGTAGGTGTGAATTCAATCCGACCAAAAAGTACCGACATTAGAGAACCAAGACTTTAGCTTATTTGGAGATAAAAAAATGAGATGCTTAGTTTTTGAAATCTTTCAAAAATCTGTGTTCGATAATCGCACGCTACTTTCGTGGTAGTCCACAAAAAATGTTTAAAAACTCCTGATGAAAAATTATCTTTTGCTTTTCTGAGACAATTTACACTCATACACATTTCATCTTGTAGAGTGAAAACAATACAACTCTTATGTACTTTTTTATACCTCTCGGATTGGGTGCTTTTAAAAAATAGCGCAAAAATCCTTGTTTACAACTTGAAGTACTTGAAAATACCATGATTGTGCTTTTCCAAAGTATAACCTTTAATTTAACCTTTGCAGCGATGATAACACTTTCGCGTACTTTTCAGTATTTTTTTGCGACGTCAACAAAAGGAAAATCGTCAAAGACTTAGTGTCCTGTTTTTAAGTAACGCTTCTTCTCAAACATTTTGTGATCCACAACAAAATAAATTCATGTGATGACACTATGAAACTACCATATTTAATTGATAGCTTAAAGGTACTGAATAAAAATCCAAATGGGGTCCTCCAAATTTTATGCATGGTATTTATTTTACAGAATTCATACAGAAAAATGCATTCTAAAATTAGGTAAGCTACTGGTGTAAGCTTTTTCTGTACAATAAAGTTAGTCGGAGTTTCTTTCTTCAGCGCTGTCTGAATCTGAATCTTCATCACTCTCAAAGTTGATTATTAAAGGTTCGATGTCTGGTCGATCAAAAATTCGTTCTCTTTCATACCATTTAAAAATTTCTTGCTCAGTATGTCGAACACTATTTTTCCACATGTCTGGGGTAACCGTTTGTAGAGCCTCGTTCCACATATCCAAACAGTCTTTTTCACTGTTACCATCTCTACCAATATGTCTGTTATAGTAACCTTTTGCTATGCCCCAAATTAACTCAATAGGGTTAAATATACTATGGTAAGGAGGCAGACGAAGAACTTTGTGCCCATGTTGTTCCGCCAATTCATCAATCACGTATATTTTAGGTGGTTTGTTTCTAAAAAAGCAGTTATTTTAAGAATAGGAATAAACAAAAGAAATATAAACTGTCGACCAAAATATATATAATTAAGAAGCATTATGTACCGAGCAACAATACTCAATAGCTCTGTTTTAAACATTGTGTTTAAAAATGGTATGTTTTGATTTGTCAACCAGTCTTGGATATTTTTTTTTGTCCATGCATTGTTGGGCACTTTGTTCAATATCATGCTGTGATAAGGGGCGTTATCCAGTATAATCATAGATGGACTCTCCAATTTTTCTAATAACTGATGTTGAAACCATTTCAAAAAATTGTCCTGGTTCATCTCTCCATGGTAATCGCTCAATTTTGTTTTCGAAGAAAATATCGCTTCACTACCCTCAATAAACCCATTTTCATTTCCAGCATGTAATATAATGTATCTAAAATATATTAGTTTTAAATTTTATAGTGCAAATTGTGTAAAAGTACATACCTTTTACCATCTGTTTTAATAGCTTTCACGCTTTTTTGGTTTCCATTTTGCCAATAGCGACCTATGGTCCCATTTTGAATTATCCAAGTTTCATAGAGGAAGACAAACTGGTATAAGGCCTCAACCTTGGCTTGATTGTATTGCCTTAGAAATTCCACCCTTTTCAAAGCTATACTTGGTAGTTCCATGAGCCCTCGTCGCGGATTGTCCTTAAGCCACTTAAATCCAAGATCTCTAAGCAACCGCCTTAAAGACGTGGCACTACCATCAAATAATGCCCTATCTCTTAATCGAGACCATAAAGTTTGTATCGTAACTTGTTCTTCTGAAACCATGTGTAATATGACATTATAATTTAGTTAACAAATTAATGCAAATTTCTGATAAGTTATTATAATAAGATCTTACTTTTGTGATACATATTATAGATCACTTCTCGAATGGCACTTGTATCCAATGTCGCTGTGTTGGTTACACGTTTAATATAACTCCGCTTTTTCTTGGGCGATTCTAAATTTGCATCACTTTTCACACCCTCGGAAATACGACTAACTGTCCTTAAACTAATTTTTAAAGCAGCAGCAACACGCTACAAAAAATGAAATAAAATTTCACTATTATTAATATACATTACATATAATTATTAGTAACCTACCTCTTGAACAGCATTTAAAGGCAACAAAGGCCCGTTGTTGTCCCTTTCTTGCTCAAAGTAGTGCATTAACGAGGCCACGAGTTCCTTACACCGACTATTTAACTGTTTGGGCATCTTTATATACCAAAATTGCCTTTATCTACTCGTAAAATGAATAATTTCGTTTTGAAACAAACAGTTGTTGATTTACAGTATGCGGGGCCAAAGGATTTATAAAGATTTGAAATGCCACAAATTGATTCAGTGTCAAAATTAATACAAATGTCAGTTCCCAGTTTAAATAAGTTTCAAGGTGACAATGTGTCAACGCTGCGAAATCGGTTTAGTGCGTTTACAGCTTATATGACTATCAAAAACAGGTTTAAAGTGTTGGGGTTAACATTTAAGATGAATGAAAAAATCATGCCTAATGGCAAAGTGAGAAAAAGAGATAAAAAGAGAAAGTTCGTAGCCGGAATTGATTTTTTGGATCTAGAACTCAACATATGGAGCATTAATAAATACTATATCACCATTAAAATATTAAAATCTATAGATCCAGGAGCAAAATATTTCTGGACTTTCCCTTACGAAAGCTATGTCCGTCATACTAAGTAATAGACCCCTAAGGTACACCAGTGAGTTCAAAAATATCACGAAAAGTACACATATAAACATGGGTCTTACATGTCCCCTTACCAAGATTCAGGGTATTGTAGTTATGATTTACAGATGTTTAAAAGACAAAAGAAAATTAACCTCTACAGAAGATAAGATATTTAAAATTCTACACAAGTTGTTTCTTGAGAAATTTCTGTCAGATCACATTTCTTTTGGAGAAAAAGTGTTCTGGATATGTTAGATATAATTCGAATAAGAAACTTAAACATGGTGTAACATCCGAAACTTATCCTGTGGTTTACATGTCTATAATCCTCCATGCTTATCTGGCCAATAAGATCTTTCATGGAGTGAACATTTCTATCACAAATGCGATCATCTTCAGTATAAAGTAAAAATAGTAAAGAAGATATGTCAATACATGTGGTTTTATTGGCCAAACAGGCATAGGGGCTTATAAACTTAAATTTGTTCTACTTTGAAATTATACTAGAGTTCGTGAAGTTGATATAAAAAATTATGTGTAGTATGTTACGCGAGTAATCCCACCATAATACATTATTTGAAAAATATTCATGTCTTGTCCTTAATGAGCCACACCTGTAACGACAAAATACGGTTTAGAATCTATGTTTATAGGAACCGTTGCTATTTTTGGATGTTTTAGGCAGCAGTTTAAAAGAAACCAATTCATTACCCAAATTCAAAAAAAAAGTGAAAGAAATTCTACTTGATCTGCAGCGAAATCTGTTGTAACCCATAAGTGGCCTCATGTTTTCCTTATCCCTTTACATAGATTATACTCTATTTTGTCGTTACTGTAAACAGGTATTAATTTTCAACAAATTTTTAAGTTTTTTTATACATCTCGTATAGAGAGTAGAAGTATATTATCTAAATCTTGCCTCCTGTAATACTATTACAAATAAAAAGACGTTAATTATTATTGTTATTAAATATTTCCATTCTGTTCAAGTTTTTTCCAACATACCTCTTGACATATACTCTTCCTCATCTTGATGATCCATTTCCTCCTAAGTATATTTGTGGCTTCCTTGTCACAGCCTAAAACATGGCAGTGGTTCTGTCTTGGCCCTGGTGCCACCAAAGCACTTCGTTTTAGTGACCTGTTACTATATGAAGGTGTATTCGACTTTCTATCCACATGCCTGTAGCATGCATCACAGAGGCACGAGTCCCTTGTCAAATGCTTCTCAGCTGGAAAAATAATTATTATGATAATATTAGTATAATTCCCCGAAAATCGAAATAAGAATCAGTCATTGGTCGCGTTCATCAGAATTGAGTAATCGATGACTTTGTTTCCTATACAGACTGAAGCAGGACAAGTAATTCTGAGAAACAAAGGACAATCGTGAGCATGTCCGCAATAACTGAACGGGAGCAGAAATCGAAGGATTGGTAACCCTAGCGACGTACGTTTCGGCTTATTGGCTTTATCAGGTACAAATGCGTGGCATCGAAAACAACTTGTACTCCATTTCCACCCTTGATTTCCTCCAGGTTACACCCATATCCAGATGTGATGGTCATATGTTTTCACTTCGGTGTTTTCGATGAACACTCATATGGGCCTTATGAAGCCAATAAGCAGAAACGTACATCGCTATGGTTACCAATTCTTCTATTTTTGCTCCTATTCATTTATTGCGGACCCACGATTGTCGTTTACACACATTAAATGCGTGCAGTAACTGATCACTTCCAGACCGACAGTCTGGTATAATTTCTCTCCAACCGCCGGCCAACCAACTACACTTTATACTCCGCGTATGATCATGTGTCTCTATGCAGATATATAAAAACAGTGTGCACACATCCCATGAGAATGATTTTGTGCGCTGTATGGGCAGCAGCAACTGAATCGGAACTGTACGTTAATGGTGCTAAGCTTCGAAACCAAGTGCCTGAATATGATAGGAACTGTGGATTTACTAGCTTTCTCGCTAAATATTTCAAAAACTCATTCCAGTTCTGTAGTAACGTTTTAATACTGATCACATTTTATATGGATATAGACAAAAAAAATATTTTTAGTTTTTCCTAACTTTATTTAATCTCTTATAGAATGTGGCATAATTAGAATTTCAATATTACGTTTTCTCTCTAGTTCTAAATAGTCTTCTTCATATTTTATTATGGATGCCAAGGTTTTGCACAGGCGAATAGTTCTTGATTCTAATTCAAAAAATGCACATGTCATACATTGATAAAAGTATAGGTATAAAGCTTCAGTCATTAAAAAAAAAACATTTTCACAGTTAGCTTTCAAAATGGCAGCTTATCACTTGTTTATTTGATCACATCACCAATTAAAGATTGCTTCACTTTTTGACAACAGTTTCTAAAGGACATTAGATAATTTGCCGATCTATTGACTTTAACAAGTGTTATTTCAGATATGACGGATATGGAATTTGTTTAGTAACTTGTAACACCGTCCAGCTTTTATTTACTCGAAATGCTTCTGTCAGTTATATGAAAAGTTTTGTTTTTCTGTCAGTATATCTAAATTTTTGATATTTTATGTCATTGATGCAAATTATATCATTGAAATCGAAATACCTGATAATTTAGAGGCCTACTTTAATTAAATGCATTTCTTAAATAATTATGGTTTTAAAAGTATTTATACATTTTCGAAAACAGAATTAATTTTTTCACCTATATAAAAATCCAAAGAAGCGCCGAGCCCATTTAAAAAAATACAGTATATACGATGGCATCTTCTCATTCAAGTTTTGGTTACTATAATTATTATTCAATCTGTTGTCGATCTTCCTACTACAAAACCATATTGATTTGAATTTGGAATTTGGTAAGAAAGTCAATCATCTTGTTATAGATTAGGTTGAAAGTTTTGTAGACATGTATGATGACTGCTGATTCCAATGCCGAGAGTGGAATTTGAAACACCCGGTATTTAAATTTCTTGCTGACGAAAATTGAAATAACACGGGAAAATACCATGCTTCCCAATATTGACTATTTCAGCAATTGAGTGGTACATTTCGTTCAAACCTCTCGGAAAAATCTGTCAATCTTTTACATATAAAATTTACTGACATTTCTATAAATTATGGCAAATACCAAGTACCACCTTGATGGTGCTCGATAAGCGATTTGCCCGTCTGATAAACGCGAATCTCTTGAAGCCCTTTAGTATCTATAAACTATTGTAATTATACTTACTCGCCAATATTTTATCCTGTCTCTCGACGCTTTTCATCTGCGCGATATGACAGGGCGTGTCAAAAAGTCCGAATTTTCCGAAACAGTACGAACATTCGTCCTTACATAACCTTCCTGGATGAATACTGAACGAACTGGCTTTTTCTGGTATAACAAGAGCTTTAACAGTGCCATCTTGGACAGGTGCTGCCTCACCATCAGATGTATGCTCACTACTACCATCTGAAAGGTTAGGGACTATTAAAGTGTGACAGTATTTATCTAAAATTATCAACTATTGTTTTTGGTACGTGACTTAGTGTTTAGGCACGAAGACACATAAGATATGTGTGCAAAATGAATGTTTACATTGTATGAGACATATTGAGTCAACCTACATTATTATTTTTACTTGCAGAGAATTTCCGTGACATTTATTACACTATCCAGAATATTCTGTGAAGTTTTATTTCACTTGAATATTAACAAACATCTACCAAAAAAATAGAAATGGTTCAACCTAAAATAGCTTGTTATATGGTATCCACTTCCAATTTGTATATTAAACCATACATCATTCAACCAACCCTACTAAAGCCCATTTTTCAAGGTTAAAAAGATAGAATAGAAATTTACTGGCAAGTAGTTAAAAAAGATGTGCTACTATAATTCATGTCAGAAATGTGCTACTGTTAGAACTGAAGATAGAAAGATAAGTGTCCCAAACCATATAATTACCCATGTTAGATCTGTTAGAATAATGAGACTTTCTCGCACCAGCTGTGTCCGAAGAGTGAGCTGCATGTCTCCAGCTTGTAGATTGCCCCTGTAAAGAAAAATCATATCATTTAAATGTTTACGGTAGTCTGTTCAAATCATGAGTTGCAACTGTGTTGTTCCACTGAACACATAGCTATTCACATCATAGTACAGTTTCCAAAAAGAAACTACATACATATTATTTCATCGGCTCATCGTGCAATAGCCGCACGTTTTAGGGACGCTTAACTAAAACACGCCAATCGGTATAAAATAACTTCCCTATTTTGCACATGAATTAAGATATATTTAAGAATTTCTATTTTATTTAAATTGGGATATTACAAATGTGAACTGTCTTTTGAACACATATAGCGGTATGTCTGAAATGATCTCTGCCGATACGGATAAATAATCGGCCGAGACCGATGCTTCAAATGCCTATTCACTGGTTTTATTGGCTTATCGAGCATTCATCTTTATCTGTACATAATCGGGAAGTACAAGTGCCCCTTACGCTGGCCGCTAAATATCTATACACTGTGACCCATTTTAATCTTCCCATTTAACATAAGTATTTCGGAAACTGCTCATTCTAGAAAAAAAGTTCCAAACAAAAGTTGCAGGGTTTCGAGGGGGCAAATAATGGTTTCCTTGACATTGACATTGACTACGACCTTGAAGGCCATTTCAAGGTCTATTGAATATTTTCTAATGAAACTCCATCCATTGGCGTACCCAGCGCGAAACAGAAGGGGTGCACCTTGAAAAAATTTTTTGGAGAAAAATCCACACTCATATCTACTTATCCATTTATATAGATTCTTCCACGATAATTTGCTCATATCAATATGAGGTTTGTTCGTACAGTAGTCGGTGATAGTGTCTGAAATGCGGTCTTGTAAATTCTGTCTATATAGCGTAGCAGAATGAACGAAATTTGTGTGGCGGAATCTTGGACACGATCACTGACAGGCTGGCGACAGAATTACTTATTTTATATTCAAGCAAATATTGGCTGAGATTGGTTTTTTTAGATAATAATTTAGCCGCTTACGATACTTGAAAGCAACACTTCAGATAATATAAATGACAAATGATCATTAAACTGTAAATTTTATAAATCAATTTTTTTGGGCGCACATATCCCTCAAAATTCAAACACGGTGCTCATTTTTTCAGTCAAGTCAATATTCCAGGATGTACTGTAATCGCGAAAAAAGTTGAAATGGAAGAATACTTTTCAGATATAACATAACAGGTACATTTTTTGCGGCGTTTGTCAGGTAATCCTTGGCGCTCTATTACAGATAGAGAAATATTTATAGTTTTGGTTAATCGGTACTGTTGCGACAGAGTAACCGTCAAAAAGAAATAAATAAACTAATTTAATCATCGGTCCTTGTATAACGTGGAAAGTATCACTGGATTTTGAAGAAATTTTGAAAGGCCTGTCAAATGGTACCAGTTTTATGACCAATAAATATATGAATCCCCAAACTTTTTTGTCGTTTCAGAAAATTTTTTAGAGGAGACAAAATTCAGAAAGAAATCAAATTTTGTTGATACAGTCAAAAGTTTATTTGAAGTATTCAAATATTGTGAGATCCGGCAAAACTGGTTTCTCAAATTTTAGTCATACAGTCACTTTTGTGTAACTCCAAACACAGCACGAGGTGTGCACTTCGAAAATATGTGGACTGGAATCTGCGTTGAAAAGTCGGAAAACTGCTGATCTTGAAACGTCACAAAACTTATTTGATCAGATTAACTAGCCAAATGTAAGCTCTGTTGTAAAAGACATTGTACATCCTTTATATATTCTTCAAAGTGGATGCTTAGGCTACTCATCTCCAAATAAAAAAAATCTGCCCGCCTAGGTACGCCCATGAACCCGTCTTTTTTCACACTGGAAATGAAAAGAGGAGTAAATTTTACATCAGACCTTGATGTTTGCCATGACTTTGATCACTTCATTCAAGGCCATTTCAAGGTAAAATCCATCGAACACAATTTCCTCTAGCAAAAATGTTCAGAGCATAGTCCTGAGGTTTATGGGGATCTCCCAAACATGACCAGAGGAAACTCTTATTTTCATACTGGAAATAACCTGCAAGTTTGACACGACCTTGATTTTGAAGTCAAGGTAACATTCGGATGTAAAATTAACTGCTTTTTCTATTTACAGTATAAAATATGAGAGGTTTCTTTTGGAAAATTTAACTTGACCACGAAGGTGATGATCAAGGTCATGGTCACATTTAGGTAATCCCCACAAACCTCATAGATTAACTGTCGCAAATTTTTGCTAGAGCAATTTGTTTTCGATGACTTGACCTTGAAATGGATTTGAAGGCAACGGTCAAGGTAATATTTCTAATTAATTTTATTTTCAATTACGATGTGAGAAAGGAAGGGTTTTATTTAAAAATATTCACTTGACCTTGAAGGTCGTAGCCAAGGTCACCATCATTTTGCCCCCTCGGATCTTTACAACTTTTGTTTGGAACTTTTTTCATATAACGCGCAGTTTTGGAAATATTTATTTGGCGAGATTAAAATGGGACACGGTATATGTCATCTTGGAGAAACTCCTATAATGAAACCGTTTTCAAAAAACACATATTTCAAAGAACCAGTTGTATTTGAACATCCGCATATAGAAAACTCATCGTGAATTATGTTCAATGTTATATTCTCATTACGACGGATATGCGTTTTTGGTGGTATCCGCCAAAGGAAATAAAACGAATGTGTGTTCACATGTTGATCAGACATCGGTATGCAGTAGAATTCAAGATTGTCTACTGAATGTTAAAGCCTTTATTTTCTTTTTAACAGCTATAGATTCTTTTGAAATTATAACGATACATTCTCCTATTCGACATTACTATTTTAAGTGAACTAGAGCAGCAGGAAAGCATTTTGGTGAAATTCGCTTTCGTAAAATTACGTTTCATGAAACGTAGTATTTCTTCATGGTACTGAGATTTGTACTTTGAATTTCGGCAAAGTTTTTAATCATAAGACTGACAAGTCGTGAGTACAATTTGTACCCTATGCAAAAAACAGACAGGATTGAAACAATTAATGATGAAATATATTGTTTTTTCTCAGCTTAGCAGTTCCGATCTTTAATCAACTTACTGATTTGTATTGGTCGGCCAATATGGAAGCTATACCGGTGAATTCGTATACCGGCAAATTAGGGCAATATTGCCGATAGGCGGATGTATATATCGGTATAGGATTCTAATGAAGATGATAATAAAACATGCAATCATACCTCTTTTCCACCCTTAACACTATCCTTAGAGCTCTCCTCAGTGGTCGTTTGGTCATCATCATTTCCCTTATTCGATTTCCCTTTATGGCCAACGACTTTTCTTCCTCCTTTCCTCTTATCTCTATTTATTTTAATCACAGTCTTCAGGGTGCCCGTATAAACATCCCCTTTCACATCCGTGGGTTTAGGCTTTTGTTTATCTTGAGCCGCAGCGCGAAGACTCTGTAGTCCCAATGCCTGCCAGTGTTCATTTATTATTATTATTACAAAATTGAAGTGAGCAGAGTGTAATACTATAAACTATCGTACAACAGGGCAAAGGTAGTGTAATACGGACAATTAACGTAAAATACATAAAATAAAAACAAAAAGTTCATAACTATAAAATTGGTTCACTGTTCCACCTATCATAATACACAGCATTAACCACACTTTCTGGTAAACTGTTTGTTCAAGTGTTGAATACGCGACTGGGGAGAAACCACTGACGGACAGTCGTTCTAAATGGCTCCTTTTGCGGTTTAAAGCTGCGACCGCGGAGATTGCTGCGCAACAGTTGGTGTAGGTGCTTCAGATTGGTGCCAATCAAACCTTGAAGTAATCTGAAGATAACTATGATATCGCCTTCAAAGAGATGTCTGTCGCGCACAAATACATACTGTTTAACAATTAGGGTCAACGCAAAAATACTGATATTCTCAAACTACTTTGCTTAATTTTTTGACCTTGACTTTTGCACCTTTAGCTGTAAACATTGGTGTGTGGAAACTTCAAAAATTAAAAATATCTGAAATCATATACATAGCTAGCATAGATTTTTGATAATAATGTCAAATAATGCGAATGCACTCCAAAAAGACTTAGAAATTTGGGATAAAAGAATTAAAACATATAATATGAATACTAATGCACAGAAAATTGAGGTAGTAATACGCAAGAAAGAACATAAAATAAACATTTAAGGTTTTTTATACTGAAGCAGTCGCTTAGGCAGAAAATATCGGGGCACCGTGACAGCTATACGGAACTTAAAGACTGGGAAAAACCTCCTCAGGCAGACTGTTCCACAATCTTGAGACCCTAGGAACGAAGGAGCCTATTCACGATGTGCTAAGTTCGACAGAGTTGGGATGCGAGGCAGAAGTCTGGTGGGCCCAATGCGCGACCGGCTTCATGAAGGAGAGCGATGAGGAGCAAATCCTGTTGACATAACCGTCTACTGCAGGTCTTCTAAGAGAGCAAGATAGCCGGCTGTCCGCCGGTGCGCAGGAGTCCCGAGACTGTCCGTTAGAGAAGTGCCATTGATCAGTGGTTAATGATATAAGAGTAGTGCGATGAGGTAGTTTCAAGTACCTGGGGTCAAGAATTAATACCCATGGCGATATTGAAACCCAAGTCGATGCAAGGATAAAAAATGCAAACGAACTGTACTACTTCATGAATGGAAGATTAATCAGAAAAACGTATCAATTAAGACGAAAGAATCTTCCATAACGTATTTGTTCCGGTATCGACATAAGTATATCGGATATGAAACGTTGACAGAGAGTGACACCTTGCCAATAACATTCAAGCTTGCGAGATACGATACTCAAGAGGTGCGACAGGAATAACTCGGAGAGATGGCATTCAAAATAGTTCGCGAATGGTTGAAAGTCAAACTAGTTACAGAATATATTGCATAAAGAAGTTCGTGCACAAACAGTAAAGTTAAATATTTGAAAAACAGGGGTAGACAAAAAAAAACGTATTAAGAGAAAACTTGGAAAAGCTAAAATTTATTTTAAAGAAAATTGAAAAATGACAACAAGCGGAAACCCTAGCGAAGAATCGCAATTTGTGAAGACAGTTTTATCTCCATGATACCTCCACACCGCGATGGTAGAAGAGGACCCAATTCTGTATGCATGTATATATAACATATAGGCGTATTTTTTGTAATCTGGGAGTCTATGCACCCTTAATACCCATCATTTTTTAAAGAGTGTGCTTCTCTACCTTTGGGCATTAGAATGAGGTGACAAGCACATCGGGACATTGATCGAACATTTTACTACTGGTACTTCTTTGTTGTTAACGCTATTACACGTGTAACTTTTACGATTTTGTCAAAATAGATTAAGTGCCTGGATCTATGAAAGAAATTGACAATCTTCGAATTTGCATCTATATATAATGGATTCATCTCGTGGCATCGTCCTGAAATTACCCACTTCTGGTAAGTGGTGCTTGAGGATATATGCTGGCTACAATTTTATACATTCACTTTTTTGTATCTAATCATCACCCGTTTGGAAGATCTTTTTTCAAGATTTTAGGCCTTGATGGTCGAAGATGTACCAAAGGAGAGCTTTGGACCAGCGGTTAGACGTACATATACTTGTCACATTAATCAAATGCCCAATTTTGTAATGCTAAATTTTCATATACTAACATATGATCGAAGATTTGTGGTATTGCCACAACAATGGATATCCGAAAAGAGAAAAGGCACGCTAACGGAAATAAGTTGCAGATAAAAGTTATTAAAAAAAGTTAGTAAATATTAAAACCAAATATTACACAACAAATATCAATACTTACCTTGAGGATATTGTATTCATCAGGCACATCTTCCTCGCTCTCAACAGCCTCATTATTTTCAGTCATTTTAGAACAAGAGCCTATAATGTCTTCTTTATTTCTATCAGTCTCTTCAACCGTAGCTGCTGTCCTGTCCACCTCCATATTTCCTACACTAGTATTAGCACCATTTTCCAGATCAATTTCTTCATCTTTTTTCGCAGCATCATCAATCAGCTCTTCCTCAACCGAATCTTCCGAAGATTTTAAAGAGGCTTCATGACAGTCAGTGTGAGTTTTTTTTTCTCTATGTTCAACGTCCTTGTTGTTGCATTCTGTGTCGATTTCCATGTCATGAGATTCCTGAGTACTAAATTCCTGTTCCTGGACAGCTCTTTCCAGCACAGGTGCTTCTTCAGGTATGGTTGGCGCTCCAACCATATCGGAACCAGTGAAAGATTCTTGTTCAGTGACTGTATGTGGTTCAATGGATGCGTGGATTGACTCTACTAACTCAGGTGGCCCTATTGATTCAGGAGTATGGGGTTTTTCCATTGGAACAGCTTGCTGAGCGTCTTCTAATGTTACATTTTGTTCACTTAGTTCAGGAGGTTCAATTTGTTCCATGGGCTCATCTTCTTGAACCTCATTTGGTTCACCTGGCTCAATTATTTCTCTTTCTTCTGCGCAAGCTGACGGTTGTTCGATCTTTTCCTCAGCGTCTTCTACTCTACTTTGAATCCCTTTCTCATCTTCAGGTTTAGCCAATACCTCAGTTCTTTCAGTTGTACTTTTTCCGTAAAACTTAGTAGTTTCCATTGTGTCTATGTGTGTTTCGTTTGCCCCCATTTCATTGAATGTTTTCTTCATGATATCCAGAATAATCGATTTATGTGGTACTTTCTCACTAGTTTCTGTGTTGAAATTCAAATTTTCCTCAACGGAATTGGTTTTTAGTTCGTTCAGGTTATCGCAAAGATTCGAATTTGTATCTATGATGCTAATTGGTCCATTAGAAGCAGTCTGTTTATCATCGCAAGGTTCTTTAGTGTCTAGTTGGTCCGAACTTTGAGTAGAAGTCATATCTGAGAAGCTACTGTTGTCAGACTCGTAACCACTTACTTTACTTGTTGAGAGGTCGCCCGTACTCAAGTCTGAACATAACCTAGAACGAGGGATGGTTTCTTAGGCAAAGGCTTAGACGCAAAGATTCAGAACGGATTTATGAAATAAATGTTGAATCAAGTTTACCTTCTTCTTTTTCTTGTTTCCTCTAACCCATCTAAAAGCCCCATGTTTTTCCTCGGCCTGCCACTTCTTAGTTTCCTGGCCGGAGAATCAGATCTAGTGGAATAGGGGCTGGCTTTTCGCCTGATACCACCCCTAGATCGGGGGCTACCACTTCTTGGAAGTGTTAGTGGACCGAAAAAAGCTAGGGGTAGTTCAGTGGGCTCACTTCCTGAAAAAACAATGCTGTCAAGTCGATTGACTAAAAAAATCATCGAGATTAAGATTTTGAAAATATCTTGCGGAAACAGGATATAACTTTAATATCTGCATACTGACAATTTGTCTAGAAAGGAATAATAGTTAAACTTGCCTATGGGAAACTTCTCTATACTATGCCTTCTTTTCACGTCTGCCACTTTCTTAATATTCTTAACATTGAGATCCAACATATCAATCACTTTTTGACCCGCTGCATCCAGCTTACTAAGCGTATTTTCTAAATTCTCTTTCTTCACTATGCTCTGTTTTAGGAGTTCTATCCTTTGCTTCTTGGTTAATTTCTTAGGTTTCAGAGTGGTTGAATCACTTTTTCCTGGAATTAAAATGATTTGCTTGAAATATCCCAATATATACGATAACCCAGGAGCAGATGGCAGGCTCCGTTCCTATATTCAATTAAAATAATAATAATTTTTATAGCATCTACAGCAGATACATAAGTAAAGGTAACAAACACAAAGCAAACAAGATATATCCATATTTCCAAACTCTTCATGGGATAAAAAAAAACAACTATAAATAATTCAAATCCACCAACTGGATGAAGTATTTTTTGAAAAATGATAAAAAATAATATTCGCGATACTGGCAAAAACATTGTGTACAGGGTGATTCACAAGTCGTGACCAAAAATGAAACATCATACACAGGACCGCATTTTAAGGGGGTTCTTCTATATAACACTTTTCAGGGCTTCATTAAAAAAATAAGGAGTGATGAAGTTTAAGAATAAAAAGCATTTTTTTTAAATATTCAAAACCGTCAACTGGAATGAACTAAAATTTGGAAGTGGATTTACCTAAGTATTGTCCACATTCAAAAGTCATTACTTAAAACTAACGTACACCAGTGGCGGAGATACAGGAGATTAGTGGCATTATTTTTCCAAATAAAAATAGTACGCCAATGTTTTTTTTCGAAACGCGCCGTTTTTCGAACTTTATCTCCAATTTGCTACAAATAATTACTCTTGTGTTTTTTCCTAGAATGCACTGTTTTCGTAAAAATGAAACAATTTAGATAATCAAAGCTTTATTTCAATAAATGTTCAAAAATACCACCATTCTGACGGGTACAAGTAAGGCGTCTTTTTAATAAAGAAAAACGTGTAGCGTAAAATTTGTTGTGGCTTGAATTTGATGAAACGCATTATCTATTCTTCCTTGTGACTGATTAATTAGTATTAATTTGTTTAGCATACACTAGTTGTTTAAATGCGCTCTACAAAAAGAAATCCAGGGGGTTCAAATTAGGATACCTCGCAGGCCAATGTACGGGTCCGTTTTTGCCAATCCATCGTTGTCTAGAATGATTAATATTAATTTAACCATGCGGTTATGTCACGACGAACGTGCGGTGGGGCACCGTCGTGCTGATACCACATTCGTGTTCGTTGCTAACACATTTTCTAGGTAATTATCTATAAAAGCTAAGTATGAGTTTGCATTTGAACGTTGTGGCAATACGTGCCTAAACAGTTGGCCATTGAAAATGCCGCACCAGACATTTCTAGAAAATCTGTGTTGAAACGAGTGGATTCTTACAGAACGGGGATTTTCTAACGACCAAATATGTTCATTATGAGAATTAAAGGTTCCACTCGTAAAAAGCGACTCATCTGATCACAAAAACTAAATCAATAACACCTGCACTTTGATTATGCATTAACACAAAAAATTCGCTGTTGCACTTCGTCGCCGGGTTGGAGACATTGCACAGTTTGCCGATGGTAAGGATGCAAATCTTTCCCATTTAAAATTTTTCACGCAAGACTTTGGAACATGGTAACTGGGCTGCAAACCGCCTAGCACTTGTACTAGGATCATCCAACGCTAAATTAATCACATCCAGTTCCTCTTGAACAGTATGCTGGACACCATGGTGTCTAACTCCTGGAAGTTTGGCAATTCCATATTGCCGAAGCCTTATAAATGAACGCGTGAAAACCTTTGGGGTAGGTTGGCGTCTTTTAGGAAATCTACGTTGATACTCCCGAGAAGCCAATAAAGCATTTCCATTACAGAACCGGTACACGAAAATACTATCGGCGTACTCATCATTGCTAAATTCCATTTCACAACACTCAAAAATGGAAAAAGAAACTTTTGACTTGACTTTTACACACTATTTTGAAACTAATTGTATCTCGGCTCTTCATGAATGATCCAATTTGTTTTATTTTTATTTTTACGAAAACAGTCCACTCTAGGAAAAAACACAAGAGTAATTATTTATAACAAATTGATTGTAAAATTCGAAAAATTGCGCGTTTCGAAAAAATACAATGTTGTACTATTTTTATTTGGAAAAATAATGCCATTAATCCCCTGTATCTCCGCCACTAGTGCACGTTAAGACTTTTGAATGTGGACAATACTTAGGTAAATCCACTTACCAAATTTTAGTTCATTCTAGTTGACGGTTTTGAAGATATTAAAAATATTTTTTATTTTTAAACTTCAACACCCGTATCTTTTTAATGAAGACCTAGAGGAAAAAATGTTACATAGAAGACTCCCCTTAAAATGTGGTCCTGGGTATGATCTTTCATTTTTGGTCACGACTTGTGAATCATCCTGTATATCCGTTTTTTCACACATCAAAAAGCAATGGACGTTTATCAATGATTTATTCAAAAAGAAAACGAAGGGGGCAACTATGTACTGTTTGAAGATTGACATACTTTAGTACATGATAAGGCAGGCATCTGGTGCAAATATTGAAAAAATGATAACTGGAAAATTTCCAGATGAACTTAAAAATCAGTAAAATTACTCCACTTTATAAATCTGGTGATAATACTTCATAAATAATTATAGACCAATATCTGTCACCAGTGTGTTTTACCTGAAATTATTGAAAATATCAACAAACGAATGTCATTTGTAGATGAATATACATTAGCTGATATTTGCAAGTACGAGTTAATAAAAAAATGGTATGCTTGTAGCTGCAACTGATTTTGTAAATTATATCTCGATATTCCCTTTTTCAGCAACGGAAACAGATGTATTACATAACAAACATACATTTTTACCTTAACTTCTGTAAAGAAATATTGTTCTTCCCATTGCGAATGGAAATGGTATGTCTTCATCTTCTTACTACTGCTCATAATATGTATTTTAATTACAGGCCAACTCTAACCCAACCGCTGGACTTTGTGCCGTTCAGTGTTGAACTGAGCGCACTGTCGCCGCGCCTTGTATATTTATTCCGTTCAAAGTAATGGAGATCGTTCTCGAACAGATCGCTCACCGCAGTGTTGCCGCTGCTTCTGTTTATTATGAAAATTTGCGGAAGATTCTATGATTTTTACCCCTTTTTAAAATACGTTGTGAGCCACCAGAATTGCCTTGGCGAGCTAGCGGTAGCTCGCGATCGACGGGTTGGCGACAACTGCTATAAAGTATTGGTAAAACTGCCTCAGGGCATTCTAAAGCATGTCAGTATCCTCAATATGAAACCTTGTATGTTCAATTCACTTAAAAATATAAATCCGTTGTAAAATATATCGATACCATTTTTCCTAGAACAGATTCGTTTTCTGCTGGTCCAAGAAGTACCTGTAGAATTTGCACGCGACAACAAATGAATTTTCGTAGGACATGGGATTCATGATCTTAAAACAAACTGTGAAAGCAACTTACCCGACTCCGACATGTAATCTGGTTCAGTTTTGACCTCTTGCTTGATCAAAAACGACAAGTCGTTCATAACATCCTCCAAGGTCTCTGTCTCAGTTTTAGCCCTGCGTAACCTGCTCTTTTTAACTTGCTTTGGAAGTTCCTGATTAGACACGTCAGTCACATCGCTTGGAGCCGGCGATTCTTCTTTCTCGATTTTAACTTTACTCAGATCAGGTTCCGGTATTACTTCAGGAGGTAGTTTTTGAGCCTTCTTTGCCGTCACACGTTTCTTTGGTTTCTTGTCGACATTTTCTTCTAAGGGAAAAATAGGCTCTAGAACTGGTGGTGCTTCCTCCTTTATGTCAATGTCTTCTTTTTCTTGCTTCACCTAAAATGTGAAGCAATGGATTTTTGAAGACAGAATCGATATTCAAATGTTTATACCTAAAACAATGAAATGATCTAAATGGAATTCTTCATACCAGAGGCTGTCAAATACAATCATTAAAACAAATCAATGATATGATGTTGCCTAGCTTTGCGGTCTGTGCCACTGTAAATGACCATTCCTGACTGACAGAAATTCATTGTTGGAAAGAGTCGAATCCGATTTAAAAGCAATAGGGAACATGCTATATTTTTGTTTTTGCTTTCGTAATATTGAAATTGAAATAAAACAAGTTATGAATGTATTTACGATGACGTTACTGACTGTATCACTGACATCGACACTATATTCTGTTCAAGTCACTGCCACGTTGACTATAATCAGAACGGTAACAAATATTATTTCCATTTGGGTGTATTTACTTTACCGATCGTCAGCGGTGTGTTATCGCTTGGATAGATCTGACGTCATAAAGTAATGAATAGTTAACAATTTTTCAAGCGGATAACCAATGAAAATGGTCATATTCATTACCATTGTTGGGTTGTACTTTACATTATGTACCGATCCGTTCAAGCGAGTTGAGTATACTTGGTGTATAAGTCCTTGCCATATAAACTCACTAGATGATGTCCACCTGAATACGGTTTTGCTAATTTCTTTTTTCATCATTTCTGGTGAATCAATAAATGTTTTCTTTGACATGCGGAAAACTTTAGACAATTGAAAGTTATCATAGCTACAAAGCCATCATTAAAAATTTTTTTCTGAAAAAAAAAACATTTCTCCCATGAATATATGAAAGGTTTCTTATTTAAACTTTCCATACACAGCACCGATTACTAAGTGATAATAAAAATAATCAGAGATCATATACGCGCTTGTCTAAAATAAACAACTTGCAATAAAACCGCGGTTAAAACCAACGCGTTCAACGATTCCTGTAACTGACGTCATCAACCCGTGTGTCATCTTGAACCATATTATAACCGCGGTACATAACACAGAAATTTGGTTTTCGCTTGGATTTGATTTATATTCAACCAACCAGTAACTTCAAACCACGAAGACTAGATGTAGGAGGTTAAACTGTGTAAGGGGTACATGTATTCGTATGACACCAGTTTTGTCGCGAAGGATGATGGGCTCTCGGAAATCTAGTGGCATCTGCGCATTGAAAAATGTCAACAATACCTACCCGAATCAATATGTACATTACACTCACGTTTTGTTGGTTTATTGCTTTGTGACTTATTAAGATTATCCAATATTTCTGCTTGCAATTCGTCAGAACTGTCAAAAATAGAGTTGTTTACAGTCATGATGACGCAACAGAGAGAGATGCCACATGCGCAGAGCTCGAAATTCATTTTCTGCGCAGTGTAGACACGAGAGATAGATGTCCTATGCGCAGCACCTGAGATTCATTTGCTATGCAGTGAACCAAACCACTTCATCGTCGACATTTTTGGCTTCGCCCCACACCATAAGTTTAACCTCTTATCTCTAGCCTTCATCCTTCAAACATCTTGTCGCAGCAGTGCTGATGTCAGGGATAATGGACACCAGGGGACTGAAACGTCTTTATGGGCGAACTGGCAACGCCAAGGTCATCCTCTCCAGGCAAAATCGAGGAACTGCATTACGGCATCGAGTCACGTGATGCTTGCCAGCATTCTCTATCTTTATCTAAATGTAAAAATATCAAATATGGCGTTTCTTTTGGTTAACATCCAGATTATCAACGCTGATGCTTTCGGAGATATTTCGTTAAAAATGAGTATAAAATATAAAGCAGCGCGCTATCAGTAGCTGTGATGGTATACGTGACTATTGTGGGAGATGCAGACGTTCAGGAGACTCTCTCATAAAGTGCTACAGGTAGGCTATAAACTTGACATATCAGCCTTATGCAGTTGGTAGATTATTCAAAATTACATCTCTGGATCCAGCCTCTTTATAATCCGCGTAGTTGGCACCGTTATATAAAATACGAAAGACTTTTTGTTTTAAATACGACATGGTAATATTGGCTTAGTAGTCATAAAGCAGTTTTATAAAGCAAAATGCTGCCCATTTAGGCCAACACATTAAAGGCATAGAACTGAGCAAACTAATTGTAAGTGACTAGCTTATTTACAAAGAATGAATACATTATATTAGTGTTTTCTGTATTGTTTCAGAATTATCAAGAAGCAATTTAAGGAAGTGAGACACAAATCTATCTATATTTTCATGTAATACAATTGTTATAGCATTGTAAAAAACGATTACAGCATGTAATAATTTTTTGAAAATAAATCTATGAAGGGTACAGGGAAAAAGATAGATGAATGTCACAAATTTGATGTTTTGTAGTTAGAACCGGCAACATGTAGTCTTAACGCAGTACAATCCCAAGAGGTATCAGAAACGCCAAAAAACAATGACAGTCCGTACCCAATTGAAAACTTGCCGTGCAGGGAAAAATATGAACGTCTCAGCCGTTGTATGAAAAAAGACGAACGTCCACTGATCGTCACCGAAACTAGTAACTACTAGAAAAATACTTGGAAATAATTCTGTGTTTGAGCTATTGAGGTTAGAAAATCGCCTTTTTCTCATGTTCTGGCCCTGTGTAATAAATTTCCTGTTAAGGTTGTTCTCATATTAGAACAGATCGTAGAACTTAAGTCAGGCATTTTGGTGGTTAATCAATTCTTAGATTTTACAAGGTGTCGCATATGATGAGAGGCTCATTTCTAACCTCAATATCTCAAAAAAGTTGAATACAGGCATGGACACTAACACAAAAAATGTTTAAAATCATAAGGATAATCTCAGAATACAAAAATATACAGGATTTTCCATTAAAAAAAATGTTTGGTCTGCTTTCACTTTTGGCCTACGTACGTACGCATATAAAATAAATATTTATAATTAAACTCTTTTTCAATTCCTCATAATAAGGAATCTGTGGTACTCCGTCAGATTTTTGACCCACCCTGTACTACGAGTCTAGGAGTCTTCAAACTTTTAAATTCGCTTTTCTCAAAACTGACTTTTTGTGACATTCATCTTTATCCCCTGTACACTTCATCTTTTGAGCATCATAATTAGTATTAGATTTATTATTCTGAACCTCAACCTGCTGAAAGAGATATTACCCTTATTGGGGATGTTTTATGAATGTACATTCATGAAATAATCGTTCAATATCGGAAATATCATTTCCAGCAGATTTCAAATTACGAACATGGCATTTCTTATTCCAGGCGCATTCTCTGCATTCTTTCGATAGTTCCTCTTATTTTATTACTGTTACCATGTTCCATAAATATTTTTGTACTTTTTCTATTTATGAAGGCACGAACTTGTTTTACATCTTGCATTATTAAATAACGATTGATTCACAAAATAATAACATCTTGGGTAATGATCGAATAAGTTATAGGAAACCTTTTAGGAATGTAACAGTTGGATATTAATTAATCTTTATAAGGACAAAAATCGGGGACGGACATTCAGAAAGAACCTGACTTTTTCATCATTTATTTTGATTCTTAATAAGTAAATAAACTAAAATTCCTCTTGAATCAAATTCATTGAATAACAATGTAAGTATTTAGATCGTTTACTTGATGAACATCTCCGTTATTATTATTAAAATACGGAAACGTTTCAGAAATTAATTTTTAACGCGTCTCAGACCTCTTTCCAGTTAGATTCAACAAATTTTTTATGTTAAGAGCTAACAGATTTTTATTAATCCAGTTTTATCAAGAATAATCCTCAAAAACCTAGAAACCTTAAAAATACCGGACAACTAAGTCCATACAACAGCAGAATATATTTAACATTTTGCAGTAGATCCTTAGGAAATTAACTGGAAAGCATAACTGCAGCGCCACCAACAACTTTCGGCTTTCTCTTGCTCGGTTCAATTGTTACTTAATATAACTTGCAGAGATGGTGAAACAAACAAAAGTTAAAAATATGGAGTTTATTCTAATTGATTTGACAACATCTTTATCCCCATAAGTTATTTTTATTTAAATCAACTAGAGAAAAGACGAAAATTGTTGGTGAGGCTATGCGCTCCAGTATATATAATAGCCTAATTTTATCTTTTCAACCGGTCTAACTAGCAAGCTGAAATTCGTGGTAATGAAACCGAAAATGTCATGATGGCGGCTAGCTGCCATTTTGGATAATTTTTTTTTAATGGAATGGGGAACTTAATTTTGATGCCTCTTAGTTTATAATTCTAGAATGTAAAAAACACCATCTTTGGAAATGGCAAACTGAAATGCTGTCAAAGTTGAGCTTTTTTGTACATTCATTCCCTTATATGTAACTCATCAAATAATCATCAAACCGCTATAATATGTTATATCAATCTTACCTTCTTGGATAGGTCTATCTGAATACGTGAAATATCCAAACATTTTTTTCAACTAAATGTATCACATTTAATTGCATATCAAGAGAGACCCTTCCAAAAGAAGTTTTCTTTAATTCATAAAGGCCCTACTGAGCGAGGGCCGTGGCAAATGCTTGTTCCGGAAGTTGTTGTATCCAGTATACAACTTCTTCCCGTCCAAGTGATTGTGCACGCGTTAAGGAATACCTCAGTACCGATTGCCGGGTGGCGGTACAAGTCCGCCAACGGGCCACTTTAGGTCTATTTAATATCACTAACACGTAAAAAGAAGGTGGTAGACAAGGACCAGTCGACCGAGGCGGTAGCACCCGCTAGCTTTTCCCAGGGTGTCTTATAAATGTCCGCATGTTTCCACACCTAAGCTATGCAGTCGGTTATCTAGCAAAACAAAGAAATTAATGATGATGGATCCCTCGAGCACTAAGAACTCCGGACGTAAACTCACTCCACTCTCGGAATGTCCGGGTGGAGGGTGGGCTCGAGGGAACAACATCGAAGATAAAATTTGTTTTTCGAACATCTGCGGGATCAACAGCAATATTGATGCTGTTCATCACTACCTGCAATCCAATCGTCGCGCCGTGCTTTTCTTGGCGGAGACAAAAATCTCAGAGACTGCACCGATTAACCATCTCAACTTCCCAAACTACGAGGTGCACTCCAATCTGAGAAAGAACGGGGGAGTTGTGGCTTTTGTCCGCACCAGTCTTTCCTGCTCCAGGGATCTTTCTCTGGAATCAGACCGGAAGGACATTCTGTGGCTTCTCCTCAACTCCAAAACATCACCCAAATTTATTTGCTGCCTTTATCGCTCTCCCTCGAACCATAACTGGGATGACCTACTCGAATACCTCGCCGTCCAGATCGACTTCCTGAACATCAATCACCCCGCTTCAGAGGTAGTTCTTCTCGGTGATTTCAATGCCCATAATGAGCTTTGGTTGGGCTCAAATAAGACCGATACAGCAGGTCGTGCAGTCGAAGCGTTCGCTCTTACTCAAGGGCTGACCCAGCTGGTGACGAGCCCTACTTTTTTCCCCGCGTCTCGTCACACGCTAGTAGCCTGCTGGATCTCTTTCTGACCACGCATCCTGTCCCTTACAGCACTGCTGTCCTGTCCCCCCTGGGTAACTCAGATCACGGTGTTGTGGAAGTTAGGTTCCGGTCAGAAGCCGCTGTGGCAGCAGAAACTCGTACAGGCCGCAAAACTTGGCATTACGGACATGCCAACTGGGAGGGGCTCAGATACTTCTCTAGCTTTCCTTGGAGAGATGTCTGTTTCACTGACGCGAATGCGTCGACTGTCTGTTCTTCGATAACGGAAATTATCCACGTCGGAATGGAGGAATACATCCCTCACACAGTGAAAGTTCCTAAACCAGGGTCCAACGGCTGGTTCAACAAATCTTGTGACACTGCTCGCCAATAGAAGATCAAGGCACACAGAACCTACTTACAAAACCCCACTGTAGAGAACAGACAAGCCGACGTCGAGTCCAGAAACAAATATAACGAAGCGGTTCGCAATGCCAAAAACCAGCATGATATAAAAGTTAGGCATAAGGTAATGTCGCAGCGTAATGGCAGTCGGTCTTTCTGGACGCTGGCCAAGCAGATTGAAAAGAACTTCTCACACAGTAGCCTTCCACCACTTACGTGTCAGGATGGAACTATTGTATTCGACTCAAAGGCCAAGGCGGAAGTGCTAGCCAAGATCTTTGCTGCCAACTCCACCATGGACGTCCCCACCAACGCCCAAGTGCCGTCAATTCAAAGGGTTCCCCACACTATGCGGGAGGTAACATAAGCAAGGCATAAGACCGTAAGACGAGTGCTCTTGTCGCTCGACATCAACAAAGCTTCTGGTCCGGACTTGATTCCTGCCATTGTACTGAAGAGATGTGCAGCGGAGCTTGCTCCAGTTCTTTCGCGTCTCTTTCAGATATCTTATGAATCCGGCACCTTCCCAGAAAACTGGAAATTTGCTCATGTACAGCCCATCCCAAAAAAGGGATCTAAGACCGACCCTTACAACTACAGGCCTATAGCTCTGCTTTCTGTTATAAGTAAAGTGATGAAGAGGTGCATAAATCGCGAGCTTCTGGACTGCCTCGAACGTTACAGCTTGATTAGCGACAGGCAGTACGATTTCCGGCACCAACGATCCACAGGGGACCTCCTAGCTTACGTCACGCAACTGTGGAGTAAACTCATCCAGTCTCATGGTGAGGCTCATGTCGTTGCTCTTGACATCACGAAAGCGTTCGATCAGCTGTGGCACGCTGCCCTCTTAAGCAAACTTCCATCCTATGGCCTCCCAGAAAAGCTTTGCAGATGGGTGGCTGACTTTATCTCTGGCCGCAAGATATCCGTCGTAATTGACGGATTCTCCTCTTCATCCCACAACGTCAACGCGGGTGTTCCCCAGGGATCGGTCTTGGCTCCAACACTGTTTCTCTTAGATATCAACGACCTCGTTTCGACTTCTTCTCTGACAAGGGACCTGGAGGCTATCACTGCTTGGGGACGCAACAATCTTGTACAGTTCAATGCTTCCAAAACACAGTACTGTACTTTGACGAACAAAAAGCGTCCTAGCGCTCATACAGTTTCGATGGACGGCCGAGTTCTACCAATGAGCCGTTCATTTCGGCTGGTCGGAGTCCAGATCACCGAGGACCCGATCTGGCACGAACACATCTCTTCAATAGCTGCAGCTGCTGGGAAAAAGCTAGGCTATGTGTTTAGGGCTAAGAAGTACTTTTCTCCGCATGACCTTCTCACTCTGTACAAGGCCCAGATAAGGCCTAGCCTCGAGTATTGCTCACACATTTGGGGTGCTGCCGCCCCGACTACATTGTCCATGCTCGATGCTGTCCAGAGGAGGGCGGTCCGACTGATCGATGACTCTTCTCTAACAGACAGTCTCGGGACTCTTTCGCACCGGCGGGCCGTCGGCGATCTAGCTCTTTTCTATCGCTACACCAACGGGCTTTGCTCCTCAGAGCTCTCTTCCACGATGCCGCCGCGCGATGTGCCTGCCAGACAGACCCGCCTGACTGTGGCATCCCATCCTAACCGTGTCGAACTTCGTACATCCAGAGCTGGCCGATACGACCGCTCCTTTGTCCCGAGGGTGTCGAGATTGTGGAACAATCTACAAGAGGAAGCTTTTCCCAGTTCTACTAACCTTAGGCAGTTCAAAAATCGTATTAACAAAATTTCTTTGGGATCATCATAGCAGCCGCGGTGTTCCGGCATTTAGGCTTCTGCCTGCGCGGCTGTTTCGATATAAAAAAAAATCTCCCACAATAGTCACGTATACCATCATCCCCGTAAGTTATATAAAGTTACATTTAAATCAACTAGAGAAAAGACGAAAATTGTTGGTGAGGCTATGCGCTCCAGTATATATAATGGAAAGCCTAATTATCTTTTCAACCGGTCTAATTAGCAAGCTGAAATTCATGGTAATGAAACCGAAAATTTCATGATGGCGGCTAGCCGCCATTTTGGATAATTTTTTTTGAATGGAATGGGGAACTTAATTTTGAAGCCTCTTACTTTATAATTCTAGAATATAAAAAACACCATCTTTGGAAATGGCAAACTGAAATGCTGCAAAGTTGAGCGATTTTGTACATTGAGTCCCTTATATGTAACTCATCAAATAATCATCAAACCGCTATAATATGTGAAATATCCAAACATTTTTTTCAACTAAATGTATCACATTTTATTGCATATCAAGAGAGACCCTTCCAAAAGAAGTTTGATATAACATACTATGAAGTTTTGATCATTAGTTGTGGGAGGAGCTTCTAAGATATGAAGAAAAGGAATCCGACAACCGCCTAAAATGTGGCAACACCTACACCTAAAGATGGAGGTCGAGAGGTATATAGTTGTGAGCATAACCTGTTGAAAGCGGAACGGTACGTATCCTAAATTTTGCCCAGGCACGTTTTTTTTAATAAGACTGGTTATCTTCTGGAACCATTCGGCTTAAAACTAGTAAAAATTGCGACACAAACTTCAATAATGCATTACTTACCTGTATTTTGGTCTTCCTTGGTTTGACTTCTTTAACTCCGTTCTTCAACAACTTATTTCGATTCCCAGCAACCTTAACTGCAGCCTTAACGTTCTTAGCCAACGGATTTATCCTGCTATTCTTTGTTTTCGCCTTCAATTTTAAAGCTAAGTTATTCGTTTTGACTACATTCTTTTGATTCCTCTTGGTTATCCTCCTTCCAATTGACGCTATGGGCGAGAATTGAGTTATAACTGGTGGTCTCTAGAATGCTTACTTTAGGGCTTGAATAAGTTCAATTGAATCGAGAGAAAAATGTAATGTAACAGTATTTTTTAGACTTCAAAAGGACATTTGAGACTACATTACTTTGATTTTAAAGGGTCAGTATTAAATATTTTATAAAATTATACAGTAAATAGAAGTCAAAAAACTAAAATTGGAAATATTATGTCAAGCGTTCAAAATATATCAGTAGGGGTGCTACAGGGGAGTAACTTAGCGCCATTACTATTCATTATATATATAACAAATAGAAAAAGAATGGTCAAAATCCGCAAAAACAAGGAAAGTGAATTCGAGCAGAAAATAGGATAGGTAACCCTAGCGATACGTATTTCTGCTGGTTGCCTTCATCAGGCCCGAAGTGAATGCACATATGAAACTACAAAAGTAGATACAAATGCCCATACATCCGGATACGGGTGTAATCTGAGGAAACAAAGATGGAGAGGGAAAAATGACACACGAAGTCCATAATACGAGCCAACCTACACAATTGTTGTGGACTTCGTGTGTCATTTTTTCCCTCTTCATCTTTGTTTCCTCAGGTTACACCCGTGTTCGGATGTATGGGCATGTGTATCTACTTTTGTAGTTTCATATGTGCATTCATTTCGGGCCTGATGAAGCCAACCAGCAGAAATACGTATCGCTCGAGGGACCTATCCTATTATCTGCTCGAATTCACTTTGCTTGTTTTTGCAGATTTTGCCCATTATTTTTCTATTTGTTATATATGTACCTTTCTCCGCATGATCCTTTTCTCTTTGTATATATATATATAGCACATAAACATTATATTGGACACTGCTTTAGAACTGTTAAATATTGATATTCAAAAAATATAAATTGGTTAAATGTTAATATACTTAAATAAAACACTATTAAACAAAATATATGTCAATGGGGAAACATTTAGGTGACAATAAAATTAGGATTTTTGATGAAAAAATTGAGGTCATTCAAATATCTGGGTATGTATGTGGATAGTAAACTATAATTTTAAAAGCATTATGAATAATACATTATTTCAAAACTATCAGAAAAAAAATAATTGTACAGAGTTTCACATTTCATAATCTCAGTATGTATATAAAAAAAGTGTGTATAACATCATAATTCTTCCCCATTTTTTATGTTGTTCGACCATTGTGTTTACAGAAAATGGAAACATATTTTCAAAATTACAGATTCTATAAAATAAAGCTATGAGAATCATTTTAATTAAATACAAATACCCGAAGTTTAAATCTATGTTCGAAGAACTTCAGTGGTTGAATGTAAAAAATGTATATGTTATTTAGTTTTTATTCTCATATTCAAATTAAATAATCATTGATTATCACCACATTTAGAAAACTTCACAAAACTAAATAGTCATTATCGAAACTACGGGCAGTATAGATTTTCATCTGCAAAATTGTAATAGTAGCATAACTAGCAAATCTGTATTCCAAAAGGGAGTATGTACTTGAATTTAATAAACTGAATAATGATATTAAACAGTCTTCGCTTTTAAAAATATTTAAGGTCAAATTAAAAAATCACTATATGAATACTCAGAAAGCATAGATATGTAATTTTAATAGACAAGTAAAAATAATTCTTCAACAAACAAACAAAAGAGGTTGTCTAAAAACATCGACACTATTATTCATTGTTTTCATATCTTTCTAGGTTGCTGAATACGATGGTGACTTTATTCGTAGAACTATCGAGTACTTCCTGTGACATAGCCAGTTATCGATGTGTAATGTCCGACGATTTAGAATGAGAAGCAGAGCCTGGTGGGTTCGTCTGGAAAGAAAGTCATCCGCCCATTTGCAAAGCCTCTACGGGAGTACATAGGACAGGAGTTTACATGGAAGAGCTGCATCTCACAGACTGAATGAAACCCTTGGGGGTCATCAAGAATAATGTCTTAATGAATAAGTAACTGAGCATAGTTAACAATAGTATCAGCTAAGCCAGGGCTGTCCATCATACGGCCCGCGGGCCGCATGCGGCTCGCGAACTCCGTTCTTGCGGCCCGCTTCACGGGTCATGTATACATCACATGTATAAATTACTCTCAAATACTGAATATGCACAATTCTTACAAACTCAGTAATAATGTTGTATAGAAAGATTTTATAATGCGGCCCTCCAAACTGCATTTTTTTTTGAAGTGGCCCTTGGGCCACATTAAGTTGGACAGCCCTGACCTAAGCTACTGAGGTTCCCAGTTGATTTCTGATGTCGGAAACCACATTGTCCACCACTCTAAGTGGTAATGTTTAAGTTATTTTATAAGTTCCATTTTGATGCATTTCTCCTAGTCAACAGCTGTTTTTCGTACACTTTTTTTAGGTGGATTAAATATGATCGAACTTCCAATCCCTTCGGAAAATATGGCAAGCTTTGGTGCACAGGTTTCCAAAATTGTTATCTGCGGTTCCTTGAGAGAAAATCGATGAGATACTTTTCATGACAGAAAATCCTGGATATATTGCATGTTAACACAGTTGCGTTAGGTTTCATGGATAATTAGTAAAGTATGGAGAAAATTAAAATCGCCATCGTATTCAGAGAAACAATCTGGAAAATATTCCAAGTATTTTATGCATATAAATCAATTAAAGTTGTTTTGCTACTCATCTTACCCTTCGCTCTGCTTTTTGGGGTTATTGGCTCAACCGGAATTTCATTTTTGTTCGGCTTCTCAGTTGGTACTACCTCTTTTGGAGATGGTCCGGTGGCATTTTTTCTGTTGACCCTAGTTGCCATGACATTTGGATGCTGGAATATTTAACTCCATTAAATGAATATTATGATTATTATAAAATCTTCGAAACACCATGTTTTAGAAAAAAAACTGTAAAAACCCTTCGAGGATTTTCGCTTCGTTAAACTTTCAGGCACTAACTTCACCCATACAGTGCTTAGAAGAGAGAACAGATCCGCAATAACAGTGGCAACAGATATAAAAAAATTTTGAAGAACGCGATGGGTCAAATTACAAAATATTTCTCGCTACACATTTGCTACTGGTTTAGCGCAAAAAGTTAAAATTATGTACATCAGATTCATGTATTTGTCGCGTAGTCATGGCATCATAAAGATAACAAAAATACTTTTAAATGATCGGAATTAATTTATCATGTGTTGTGTATAGATAATCAATTACCCTCCTTCGAAACATTGACTAGAGGCAGATAATGGATATGCCAAAGCAATGTTTACATAACTATGTCTGCATTACTCAACAGCCACTGAAAATATTTTTTTCTAGTTATACCAACGATTACCGTATTCTCCAAGAAGATGCAATTCTATGCTATACTTGGACGTTATTTACAATTTCCATCGTCACAGCCATGATGCCGAGTAAAATTGCCGTAATTCCCGTAGGATTAATAAAACTGGACTCAATTTTCTTTTTAAAGAAAAATGCTTATTCTCAAACACGATATTAACCTTCCAAGGAAATACCACCCTTCAACTTTTCTCGTAATTAAAGATTCCGTATCCTTAATGATGGAAAAGAAAATCCCTAACTTATCATTACAGGATAAGTTTCAGATGTTACATCTAATTATCCGGAACGATAATTTACAGTGACCAGATCAGTTCAGCTCACAGAAATTCCTTTTCGGAAATAACTGTTTATCTCACTTTCCAAATGTGAATCTGGATGGATGATCGTTACTTTCAACAAGTTATTCTTACTAATGAGTTCTCTTTTGCTTGCTTCATAACATGTAGTGAAGTTAACATTTCCATTGATTCTAGGTTACGCAGTATATAACCTTACGCAACCACTGCAACTTACAAATCGAAACGAAAGTAAGACATTACATGTCAGAATTAGAATCATTGCACACGTTGTTATTAAACAAGTTGGCCAAAATCGACGATTTTATATGTTTCAAATTTACTTATAAATGAATACAGGAAGTTAACACGTACAATGCTGTCATGTCATAGCGATACCTCCCTACACTCATGGAAGTAGTATGCACATCCACCATATTTTGTAGCTGTTTTTTATAAATACGCTAATCGAGCTCGGAGATGGATTCGTATATGAGAAGACGTGCATGAAATGTATTGAATCCGACTACGAAGATTTACTTTACCATAGGCGCATGGAATAATTGTCAAAATTTACAAATATATACGTTGACGTTTCATATTGCGAAATTCAAAATTCAATCACCTTTTCCTCTATCCTGTAGCCCATTGTTGCATTGTCATCAAGTAATCTTAGTAACAGCTTATTCTGTTTTTAGAAAACAAACGATAGCTTTGAAAAAAACATTAGCGTGAGAAATTTTTAATAAAAAACACAAACATACTCAAACTTTATTTGGTTTTTCGAGTACTGCATCATCTTTTGTCTAGTTTTTTGAATAGATGAACATTCCTGATTAACTAACCTTGTAGCCTAGAAATTTAGTGATCAAGAAATTATCACGACTCAGTTTTTACTGATATACGTCTGCACTTTTAGTCGAACGACATACAGCGCTTCTGGAAAAGGTCTTCTCCATATTTATTTTTGGGACTGGTTAGCTGGCATGCTCAAATTGTGGGTGAAGAAACTGATTCATGAATACTAGGGTCCGAATTTTTCGCCGAAGCCGATGTCCGACCTTGTTTACGTTGATAAAAACTGTGGGTTGTTGCGTTATACGTTGTAATAAACTAGTAATATAGTTTTCGCCAATCCCACCACAGATGTTTCGTGCTATATGGGAACTCATCAGCTTGGTCTCTGATATGACAACGAATGAAAGCTGTCTTGTCTTTCAGCTACATATTCACATACTTATTTAATGCCGCACCATAAACTCAGGTTTTAAAAAAAAACTAGCCATTTGAAACATATTATTTTTAGACAAAGGAATAAGCTAAATAAATCTCATTTTAATGATAATTGTGAAGTGAATTTTTGACGAAAACTAATATGTTAATAGGTTTTCAATGCCACAAAGTAGCATACAAATACTACAAAGTAAACTGGCTATTTTATTTTCGTATGTTTGTCATGTAACAACTGACAAAATATGTACACGGGTACTAACTGGTAGCTAATAGATATTTCAGAGTATCTAAACGGTTTAAAGAAGAATGGATTGAAAATCTACATTCGTATAATATGTTGCATCTTTAGTTCCTTAGCACCTCTAGAAAGCATTTCGGTTGTTTTTAAACGCTTCGTGAGTAGAGATTTTTTATACCTCTTTTTTGGACCGAAGTGCTGAGCGTTTTTCAACATTGAATCGCGTATTACTCGTACTCAACTACCAATCATCAAAACCCTATATTATGTCAATTTTATCAATGAAGGATCTATCTAAATAAACTGAATATTTTATTGCACAAAATTGATATAACATTCTATAACATTTTGAAGAAGTAGTTTATTCGATGTACTTTGACAGCTCGCCAGTTCGCAATTTTAAAAGGTATTACATTTTATTCTAGGGTTATAAAGTATTGATAAGAAGCTTCAGTACGAGTATCGTATTATCTTCCATTGTATTTTCTTTCTATTTAATGTTCCAAGATGTTATTTTTACGTTGAATTATAGTATACATCATATCGAATTTCAACTAGCTAGCTTGTTCGGCTCAAAAAAGTATAATAAATACAAATAGTGGGACAACTTTTGAAAAGCACTGTATGTGGTATCCTATTTTGACCCTACTGAATCAGCAGGAGGGTTATGTTTTGACAAATATTCATAGGATACAGCACAAACAGCTTGATGGACTTTGACATATGAGGTGTTGTTGGAATCGTCTTAGTAGGTAGTGCGACAGTGGGCATATTAAAATTTTATAAAATCAAAATAGTTTATTTTGACATGTCATTGTTCCGCGTGTGTATGTATGCATCTATGTGGACAAACATTAATAGGATATATAGCCCAAAAGGCTTGATGGACTTTGACATATGAGGTGTTAGATTCGTCTTAGGGCCGTATCGTCTGTCGTCCCTACAATTATTGTAGGACGCCTTTATGGCCTCCTTTACTTTCATAGTCTTTTCTCTCATTCAGAAAGGCTGGGATATTTCTAGATTTCTACTGTTCCTACAATTGTCAGCGCTCTATTTTGAGGTTATGTTACAAATATCTATTTGCATCAAATTGTTCATTTTTTTTAATTACATATATATCATCTGTTATATCATTCGCTACAATTAAAAAAGAAAACGTAGTCTGACAATAGGAGAGCGAGACAGTAGAAATCTAGAAATACTCCATCATTTCTGAACGAGAGAAAATACTATCAAAATCAAGGAGACCATAAAGGTGACCTACAATTATTGTAGGAACGAATGTCGATACGGCGCATAGTAGTGCAAGACAGTGGGTATATTAAAATTTTATGAAAATCAAAATAGTGTATTTTGACATATGTCTTGAAATGTAAGTATACTGAAGCTCAAAGGGCTTAAGAGATTTGGACATTTTTAGAGGCGTCCGGCGCAGAAGTGTTCATTGTCCCGTCCGACTGAAATGATTTCGCGAGCTACAGCCCAAACAGCATTATGGATTTTGACAATTGATAGCACAACTAAAGCGTCATTCCATTCAGTTACTGCAGTCGGTGTACTTGTATTTTTAAAAAATGAACTTATGTGCTTTAAAAAATAGATGAGACGAGTTTCAATTATCGGCTAGGAAAAACGTAGATACTGTTATTGTGTCACTAATTAACATTTCATTCCATAGTAAATATATAAATAATGCAAAGTTCACCTCTAAGCGTGATTATGTGATTATAGTACTTTCGCTTGTGTCGCTTGATTGGCCGCTCTGTAACGCAAACGGTTGTACAGGCATTCGGCGGATAGTTTCCCATTCTACCGTTACATTGTGATTTAGACACATTTACTTAGCGAAGCGAACGCCACTCACACAGTAACTGGATATACTTGTATTTAGCTTCACGAGAAAGCTTCAGTTCAAGCTTTCCACGATGAAACCTTCATCTTATAGGTTTGACGTCTCTTCGTAGGTAGTAGTGGCAGTCGGAGGTTAGATTATAATTTCAATTAAATTGAGTTTAATCGGCTGTACACATACACCTGAAAATTATCCAGTGGTTTTCGTCCGACAATCCTCCATGTTTGTTCGTCTGGCCGCTAAATGAAACCACGTATGCTTGAAACACTTTACTGACGACGAAGTTTCAGCCACAACGGTGGACTTTTTCAAATACAATTTGACAATTCTGACAATACGTTGACAATAAATTGACAAAATTCTCAAATTGTACTTGTAAAAGGTTGCGGTCGAAATATCGTCATCAGTAAACTGTGTTTCACACATACAGTGTTTGTCCGGAAAGTAATAGGACTGAGTCGATTTAAAAAAATTTATTGAGAAAATCGTTACAAACTTTCGTCGATGCAGCGCTGCCAGTGCGATTTCCAAGCATTGAAGGCGTCACGGAAGGCATTCTCCGGAATAGCCTTGAGAGCTGCGGTGCATGCTGCTTGGATCCCCTCTGTCGTCTCAAAATGCTTGCCTTTCATGGGCCTTTTCAGGCGAGGAAACAAAAAAAAGTCCGGGGGGCACATCTGGGCTGTAGGGCGGCTGCGGAAGCGTTGGGATGCCGACCTTGGTCAGGTAGCTGTTCACAAGAAAGGCGGTGTGAGCCGGGGCGTTGTCGTGGTGCAACTTCCAGTCGGCTGCGATGTCTTGTCGGACCCGACTGACCCTTCGTTTGAGTCTCCTGAGCACTTTAACGTAAAACTTGGCGTTGACGGTTTGTCCAGGAGG